ACATTGTCATCTGTTCTGAATGAAAACTTTGTTTTCATATAGCATTGATCACTACAATCTATTAAAGTAAATAATCGTCTTATGGTTACTTTCGGTTGTGTTTAAAATGTATAACTGAAGACAGAGAGAGAGAGGTCTTGACTAGAGAAGTTCATCGATATCAGGTATAAGACAGCTTCCATGAATGACAATGAGTGATCTTTGAAAGATATGTAATCTAAAGATTTCATGTTCATCAGTAAGTACAAAGTTGCTTAACTATATCGTGACTTATCACTGATTAAGATTTCCAAAACCGAAGAGAAACTATAATTCAATTCTTTATGAATATCAGCTGTTCATAGAGTGATTTTAATCTATAATGGAAACACTTCTCATTAAGTTTTTGCTAACCACATGTTGTTTTCTATAGTCATTATCTTTGATGAATACTTTGTTCAATTCTTCTTAAATTTAAACATTAATGATGATCGTAAGGAAAGATAGATAATGGCTAGCAGTGGAATCCAGTCTGATGCGCTTTTCGTCCTATTTAGGAAACGTCCGTTGTATGTACTTGCATCTCAGAGCTGATGTTCACCCTGGGACTAGAACCCAGTACCATTCGCTTCAAACGCCATCGCGTATTTCATTTAGTTACTGAGTCCTCATAGTCACTTGCTTGTGCACTTGCTTGTACCAATAAGAGACTGACTAGTTGCAGTCCAAAACATCAATGGGAAGATTTAAACAAGTAATACTAAGTGAATTGTTGATGATCCATATCTAAACTGGGAAATCATAGACTTACACTTCTGAGGAGTTCTATTCTAGGACGAAACCACCATCTAGTGCTTCCATGTTTTTTCTAATGGTAGTAAAATTATCCACATATTCGATTTTTCTGATTTTCGTTCAACTAAATTAAGTGAAATATGAATCATGAAAACGTTTGTTTAAACAAATCAAAATATACTACTTAAATAAATATAAACATTTCAATGGGAATAAATGATTGATCATTGAAAGAAAAACAAAAACACCACCCAGTAAATCAAGTAAACAAACAAGATAGACACAGAAAATGAGAGAGAGGAGGGAGAAGGGAAGGAAGGAAGGAAGGAAGGAAGGAGGAACATTGTTTTTAGTATAAACTATGTCATTTACCCAAAAATCTGTCCGACTACTATTTTACATTTACATTACTCAAACAATGGGTTAGATTTATAATGTTATTTAGTATTCGCTAAGAGTATTTAAGTATATATGATATAATCCCTAAGAGAATGAAATGAATGATAACTATGAAGATCTATTTATGGTTCAATTGTTAAATAACTAAATTATGTATATTCAAATGGTCATGCGTATATAGTCACTTCCGGAGATGTCCGTTGGCCGGTTACCATCAGAAACAGCCTACTAAGGAGAAAGAACAAATCAACTTCCAGTTGAAGAGAAAATTACGAAAAGACTATGGAAGTGGATAGGATATATATTGAGGAAATTATCAGATTGCATCATGAGACAAGCGCCAACTTGGAGTCTTGAATGGAAACAGGAAAGAGGAATACTGAAAATCACAAACTATGTCAGGAATTGGGAGCAAATATGAAGAAGATGAATAGTAACTGAAAAGGAATGCTCATGATAGAATTGTCTGGAGAATGCTGGTTTGTGGTCTATGCTCCTTGATGAGAGGTAGCAGGCATAAGTAAAAGAATGTCCTACTTAATGTCTTCTTGTGGTACGGATGTTGTTTACGAAATAGAGAGAATGAATAGCGAAAATTTACAGCATCATATTGAATAATTTTATATAGCTGAAATCATGAACCAATTGAAGCTAAACTACCATGGAAAATATGGATGCACTGGGCGGCCGTTTCGTCCTAGTGTGGAACTCCTGATGGACGGTTGCTCAATTTCGTGGATTGGTTGAAGTTAGACATTATTACCGTTGGATGACAGCCGGACCAGTGTTTCTAGAGGTTGAGCACTCGCGTGAAACACTGATAGATCCTCAGTTCGAATCTCACGAGGGTGGATCGTGGATGTGCACTGCTGAGGAGTCCCTTACCAGAACGTAACGGCCGCCCAGTGCTTCCATGTTCTCCATGGTGGTCTAGCTTCAATTGACTTATTATTTCAACTATAAAAAACTACCAAAATTTCCACAAGACCCCCATCTGATGTTGATTAATTGTTTGTTCGTAAAAATATACTTTGTTTTGTTTTCTTACATCTTGTTAAGATTCCACGTATTTCAATTGTGCCCTCAGATGAATTGAATTCATTATCAAAGCAGTATATTGAAGTTTATCAAGATTATACATATATTCAAAGGTAATCTATCTTAGTATAATGAATTTAATGATAACTAATTGTATATGCATTTATTTTATATTACTATTGTATTGTATGCTACTTATATTTGTCAATATAAGTAGTATATAACACTAATCAGATATGGAATACCTAACAGCAAAAGATTGAGTAGATCAAATTGAAGAGAATAAGAATGTAAATAGAGAGTAATTATAATAACAATAGAATTGAAGGAATCATGAATGATGTAAAGGATAACCGAAGGAAGATATTCAAATGATGTATTGAATGTATAGTTTTCATATCTTACAAACTACATAGTGCTCTGACGCGAAACTGGTACGTCCTGGGTTTGAATCTCGTGAGGCGAGGTAATGGATGTGCACTTCCACTGAGGAGTCCCACAATAGGACGAAACTGCCGTCCAGTACTTTCAGGTTTTCCTTGGTGGTCTAGCTTCATTTGATCCACGCATTCAACAATGAAACTACATAGTGTTTTTGTAATATATATATGAAAATCATTCATTAAGTACATTATTGATACATCTTCTTTGTCTTGTCCTTTAGACTATTCACTATTCTTTTAATTCCGTTGTTATTTGGATGTTACCGATTTCTTTCCGGTTCTCTTCGTTTCTATCTTCTGCTGACAGGTATTCCACATTCAACTTGTGTTATATATTACTAATATCAGTCATCATAAGTAGCATAACACCGTACATAAACATACACTAAATATGCTCTTAGTTATGTTATAAAAACTCCTTATAATTGGACTCTGGTTCATCAAACCACGTTTTTATTGTCAATACGGGAACAGGGTTACTAGTCATTGGATAATAATCTTAATATATAGTATGAATAGAATGCTGTCTCTGGATAAGCTACGAAGAAGAGAATCCTGATATCTTTTGTTTAGTACGAAATTAACCTACTTACTTACTTACATGCGCCTGTTACTCCTTGTGGAGGAGCATAGGCCACACATCAGTATTCTCCATCCAACTCTGTCCTAGGCAATCCTTTCCAGTTTTTCCCAGTTAAAATTCATCCTGCTTCTATTTCTCGGCGTAATGTGTTCTTTGTCCTTCCTCTTTTCCGTTTGCCTTCCGAATTCTAAGTTAGAGCTTGTCTCGTGATGCACATTGGTGATTTCCTCAATGTACGTTCCATCCATTTCCAACGTCTTTTACTAATTTCCTATTCAGCTAGAAGCCACTCTGTCCTCTCCCATAAAACGCTGCTGCTGATAGTATCCGGTCAGTGAATGTTGAGTATTTTACGTAAACAACTGTTTATAAATACTTGTATCTTCTTGCCGAATGATGTAGTAGTTCTCCATGTTTAAGCTCCGTACAGTAGGACTGTGTTGACTTTCATTTTGAAGATTCTCACTTTGAAATTAGTTGAGAGTTGATTGAAGTTCCATATGTTCTTCAATTATAGAAATGCTGCCCTTGATTTACCAATCCTCGCCTTTACATCTGCATCTGATCTTTCTTGTTCATCAGTGATGTTTCCCAGATACGTGAATGTTTCCACTTTATCTAGAATTTCTCCATTAAGTGTGACTGCGTTGGTGTTCTCTGTGTTGTATTTGAGAATCTTGCTTTTTCCTTTGTGTAAGTTGAGGCAATAAGAAATTAGAAAACAATCAACATCATTAGATAAAGTTAATCACATGTTGCTTCTTTATTTAATCACTATGTTATATGATAAAGACATTAGAAATATAAGTTGTATAGATGGCGGACTGCAAATAGCCCAATAAGCAAAAATGGATAGTGGTTAGTTGTAGGATCCGAGATAAGTGTTTCGTCTTTAATTAGACTATCACTGAAAGCCAGGAAGTAGTTGAAAAACGTTACGTCCTGATATCGATGACATCGGAAGATTGAAACCACGACCCTATAGAGTATGAAACTCAAGATTTGCTGATCTTCAGATGAATATTTTATTTTATGATCACTTAAACGATACCACAATGATTAGCGTTTCTAACTGTAATCAATTGGCAGTATTGTGCAACTATCTTCCGATTGCATTGGTGCTTTACACTGAGAAAGTCGATACTTCATACATCGACTAAAGTTAGATATATAAGCCAATGGTTGCGATCCCACTGATCTAAACGTTAAGCGCTCGTCACTAGATCCAAAGGTAATGGGTTTCATACCATATAAGGTCGTGGTTTAGACCCTCTAATATGGTTCATAATAGTACTCACTAATTTTCAATAGTTGAGATCATGAGTCAATTGAAGCAAGATCACCATGGGAAACATGGAAGTAGTGGACGTCATATTGTTGGACTTGTTATCAGTGTACACACACGATCCCACCTCACGAGATTCGAACCCAGAACCTATCACTCTCGCATGTGAGCGCTTGGCCATTAGACCACTGAGACGGATGGCATCCAACTGCATTAACGTCTAACTCTAACCAATCCACTAAATTGAGTGATATATCTACCACTGCTGAGGAGTCCCGCAATAGAACGAAATGGTCGTCCAGTGCTTCCATGTTTTCCGATGGTAGTCTAGCTTCAATGGACTCATGATCTCAACTATTGAAATTACTATAATATCCACAAAATAACTATTGTTATGATCATAATTGAATGAGATCATTCAAAATACTGATCTTATTTACTTGACAGATTCTTCTTATAAAAAAAACGAAAAAGAGTAATGGATGAGAAAAGTACCACGAATTTACATGATAATATGTCGACTGAAAAAGAAGAAGAAGAAGTAGTAGTAGTAGAAGGAGAACAAAAACTTAATAAAGTAACCGACCAGAATAGTTGTATGAGTTGTTTAAGAAGTCGTACTACAATATTGATTATTGTATTTTTTGCTTTACTCCTGGATAATACATTGTTAACCACTATTGGTAAGTAATTATTGATCATATGTATATATATATATATAGCTTTATTGATTTTAATATTCTTATGTAATATATATAAGTAGTGACTGGCCCCAAATGCCCTTATATGATCGAGGACAGAAAGAGTTAGCTCTCTCCCTCTCGAAATGCTCTCTCATGGCCACGTGCATACATCCATTGTCAGGGAAGTCCTACTCACTTCCTTCTCTCGGCGGAGGTGTTGTTTACAAAACTGATAGGACGAAAAGTAAATAACCGGGTTGGTAGACATGGGGGAGGGATCCACCTAGTGGGGTCGGTAAACCCTTATTTAAAAACCAATGGTGGACATGGGCTCCAGGATCCTAAGGAAATAAACTAACGTATGAAACAATTATTAGATACTGGATACCATGGGATTACTTCTCCTAAAGTTGCTCCACTGCTTTGTGGATCAGACTTCTAGGTCAAATTCTCATGGAGTGGCTCTCTAAGAAAACCACCTATTTCAGTCCGAACAGTCGAGCAGTATCATAGCTCTCACACAAATCGAATGATTTATGTGGTTCATATGTATTTGATGCCCCCTTTTACCAATGTTTATGTGTTTAAACAAATAAGTATATGCTTATATATAGTATAACCATCATCAGTTCTGACCACCGTTATACAGTAACTTCGTTCAGTTATTCCACATAGGTTCTTACTTTCTTTAGTGTAAATCGACTCATGACAGTATTTAGATAATAATAGATATTAGTAAGGCTATTTATTCGTGTCGTGATTTGTGCAACTGATATCAACACATGTAAGTAGTATATATCACCAATCGAAAGTGAGATGTCTTAGTGTGTGAAGATTAAGAAGATCGAAGAGAAGAGAATGAGAACAAAGAATGATTGGTGTGGTATCTATCGGTATTAAAGTAAGCTATATATCTAGTTCATGTAAATCGGCTTAGATATAAAGCATATAGTTCTGTTTACTTGAATCTTCCTATCTATGTTTAGGACTGTAATTGATCAGTCTCTTGTTGGCATATATAGATCTCGTGCAAACTGCTTCGATATTGTCTTAATTCACAAGCACTGGGTTCGAGTCCCAGAGTGAACTTCAAGTTTGAGATACAGGTACATTCAATCGATGAATCCTGAATAGGACGAAACGCACGTCCTTCACATAACTGCATTCCACTGCTAATCACCATCCATCATAGGTTTAAAACATTTCCCTTTTAAAGATGGTTTAAAAATTTGTTTTAAAACTCGACTATGATATTTGATCTTAAAATGTACACATTGATGTAACCTCATATGAAAGACATTGTGTCTATGCTTTCTAATAGTTCAATTCAACTGTTCAAACTTCACTTCTACCCGACGTTTGTGCTGATGATTTCATTCAGAAGAACAATAAAGCTCCACGACTAAACCATCCAGCTCAGAGAACAAAACTCCATTAAAAACTTAAGTATATGTAAATGGTTTCAAACTTGGAACGTAATGGTTTCATTCTATTCAACATATATATCTATATCATTCAAATCCCTATTATTCATGATATAATCAACCTCATTATTATAAAATATTCAAGATAGTTTAGATCAAAGTTTTTGTCAAACTCTGTAGATGTCGTCGATTCTCAATTGACTATGATCACCAGTACAGTAAGATTTCGACTTAGTTCCTTTGATAGTTCGTAAGCCAGAAAACTGTCACTGGTCCAGATAAAGTATATTTATTGGCAATTTTGTGGTATTGAATGAATACAGAGACGTGCAAAAGATTACAGGCAAGAAGAGCAGAGCGTAAGAATATTCAAACGAACAAGATGGACAGCGGAACAAGAAGGGATTTTGATACAGTTAAACAAAAACAAGTACAGTTTGAACAATTACTTGTACAATTAGTTATAATAATAATTGTTTCTCATCGAGAAAAGCAGGTCACTACACCCTCTTCAGATTGAACAAACTTATAAATGAAACGATGAACAATACAAACTGTACATTTCATCCTATCCCTGGACTCGTCAGTTGAATGTACCTTCATCTTAGAGGTTGATGTTTACTCTAATTTCCGTTTCTTTTTCTTTTTCTTTTTGCAGTTCCCATTATTCCCAAATTATTAATGAATGATGCAATTAAACAAAACAATTGTACTAATACTAATTGTTCTAATATGTCTGATCAAACAACTGAAGTTTATAGTATACATATTAAAATTGGTATTATGTTTACTGTCAAACCACTTATACAATTTCTAATCAATCCTATTGTTGGTCCAATTACGAACAGGTATTACACTTATATATTTATATATTACTGATATCATTGAAATGAGAGTAGTATATATGTGTTGTATAGATTTTGATTGTTTAATTAAAGAATGAAAGATTACGGTGATAGATCATGTTTTTAAACATCAGTGTACTTATTCCTCGGAAAAGTCCATATGATCACTTTGGAGGACAGTAGTGGAATGATGAGGAAAATATATAATACGAAACAGTTGAGGAGACTGAAAAAAATTGGTTAACGGTTGCTAAACTTTGTAGATTAGTTGAAGTTAGACATTAACACCTTTGGATGCCGGTCGGCTCAGTGATCTATCGGTTAAGTGCTCTGGAGCGACACTGGTAGGTTCTGGGTTTGAATCTCGTGAGTGCGGATCGTGGATGAGCACTGCTGAGGAGTCCCATAATACGATAAAACAGCCGTCCAGTGCTTCCAGGTTTTCCATGGTGGTGTAGCTTCAATCTGCTCATCATTTCAATTATGAAAGTATCAAATTCTCCACAAAACTCTTTCTGAGACTGAAGAGTCTTATTCTTGAAAACGTTCAAAAGTGTTTTAAACAATAGAAACAGATATCAAAGAAGATGCTATTTCACAAACAGGAATCACTTTGAAACGTGTGCAATCGTTGATGAACACTTCCAAGAAGCATCTTAATACTCCCCGGTTTTCACTGGTGGTCTAGCTAAAATCAGTTAATGATTTTATGTCAATATATGTCAATAAGATGACTTTCATATATACCTTCGTTAAAAAAGCACCGTATCCAAGTGTACAAGTTCATTTGATTGTGATCATTCAGGTAATTTACATTTTAGTTACTTTAAACGATAGTTTGGTTAGCAACTACCATGTGAATTTTTATGTACTCTGATTCAACTAATAGTAAAAATGATGAGTCCCATTAATAGTTATATTAATTAGCCGATGAATCCATTGGTTATTTAAATCTTTCTCTTGATTTGTTAGGACAGTAATTTTGACAGACTTCCATTATGTGTGGAAGACGTTTTGAAGCGAACTGTACTGGGTTCGAGTCCCGGTGTGGACATCAACTCTCAGATGCAAGCACATCCATCTGACAAGCCCTGGATGGGACGAAACACATGTTCCAGATTCCACTGCTAGCCACCATCCATCTTTGCTTATAATGCTTGTGCATTAATGCAATATATCATGAATAAATGTCCCACTAGTAATAAACATCATATTTGTCTAGTCTTTACTATTGAATGGTGCATATTGATCAAACTATGTAATCTAATAACTAATCTGAAGAACTCAGTATTTGTGTATACACTATGTTTTGATAGACACTGATGGTTAGATGGTTAGGTTACATGTTACACATGATTTGTTAGCTAAATAAGGATACTGAGATGACAGTAAACTTTTATTGTGAACAAGAACTGAGGTAGGGATAACCAATTTGTTTATTGCGAAATTACAGAGTTATTTTATAAAATGTGAAAACCATATAATGAATACTTCATTCGTAATTCGTTCATCAGTTGTCCTTTATATCTTTCTTTATTCTTCGAAATCTCAGTTCCTTTATATTTCCCTTTCTGTTTCCTTCAGTTCAATCTTCTTTTGACAAGCATTCAAATTCCGAATGGTGTTACATACTACTTATATCTTACAACATAAGTAGCATACACCACACATCTTTTCAGAATATGAATTTATCTTCACTGCATTCAAGATGGACATTCTTCAGGTCACTTTAATGTAATTCAAAGATCATTCATAAGTTATAGTCTCATTGATTATTTCATAAATATATTTATGTTGTCTTCGCAATAGCGGCCAAACCAAAACGTGCCATCATTACTTGAAGTCAATAACTTCTAGTCTTAGCCATGTTGGTAGATGCAGACTACTTGGTTGAGGTCCGCATGACTACCGTAACCAATGGTTGGAGACTCTGTGTGACATGGCTCAGAATCGATCACAATAGCCTAGGTGTATACACTCTTTATCTTACCATAAACCTTCAGATTAAAATTGCTTCATAACGTTCTTCCTTCCTATACTATATCCTTATATACAACCTTTCTCTCATATATACTACCACCACTAAATTAATTACTTCAATGAATTCGGTATTGATCTTGTTGTGCTAACGAGGTATGGCAATTTGGACTGATGAATATGTGTCCATGGTCCTACGTTGTAGTTGACTGATTGATTGTCTTGACGATAAATGCCTACAAATTAAAATTTTTTTAAGAAATTTTCACTTCTTGAAAGATCTCCTTCTTTTAATTTATTCAAATAGAACTTATTCATCTACAAGTTCCATTTCATGGTGTCTTCAATTGATTATTCTAAAAGTATAAACGGTCGTCCAGTGCTTCCAAGTTTTCCACGGTACTCTAGCTTCAATTGACTCATGATTTCAGCCATGTATAAATTTATTATCAGAAAGGGAGTTTGTAGAGAATATAGTCATTTTAATAATTGAATTCATGAGTTGATTCAAACTAGACCACCATGGAAAATCTGAAAGTACTGGATGATTTTTCATGGTGGTCATGAATTCAACCATAAAATTATGTGTAGAACTTATTTTAAACATTTAATTTATTCAAAATACATTCAACAGATATGATGAATCTAAACAAATGGCAGTTTACAGCTATTTAGCATTCTATATAGTTGAGATCATGAGTCATTTGAAGCTAGATCATCATGGAAAACCTGGAAGCATTAAAAGGCCGTTTCGTCCTATTGTGGGACTCCTCAGTGACAGTGCGCATCCACGATCCCGTCTCACGAGATTCCAACCCAGGACCCATCAGTCTCGATCGTGAGTACTTAACTTTTAAACCACTGAGCCGGCTGTCAGCCAACGGTGTTAATGTCTAACTTCAACCAATCCATTTCATTATTAATCAATTGATTGGTTCCTATTAACCAGAAGATTTGTGAATTGTATTAGCCGTACTTTGTCAAAGTGTATAACACCTATTGAAAATTAAGAATCACTAAACAGATGTTTCATCCAAGTACAGTACCCTTGAGTAATATACACCCACGATCCTAACTTTGATCGAACCTACAGCCTTCAGATCTACTAATGAACCCTTTGCCTTTAGACTTATGAGTCGATGTCTAGTATTCAGTACATCTAACTTTCATTAATTCACGATACAGCGCACTAATCTCATAGTGTTACTGATGGGAAAAATGACTCAGTCTTAGAATAAGTGAACTCCACTAGCCAAAGCCTATACTAGGACGGAACAGTTATCCAATGTTTCCTGGCCTCCAATGATTATCTTAATAAGGTCAGTCCATGATGTAAAATATAGAATTAACAACTTCGATAGTGTTTTTTGAGGACAACAGTTACTTGTTTCACTTAGTACACCAATGATTAATTTAAGCTAAACAATCGTTAATATCTCCAAGGACGAAAGTCTAAAAGACTCCTATTTCTGGAATAAACAACTATTCAGTACTTTTATAGTTGTGATCATGAATCGATTGGAGATAGACCATCATGAAAAACACAGAAGCACTGGATGGCCGTTTCGTCCCATTGTGGGACTCCTCATTATTGCGCATCCACGATCCTGCCTCGCGAGATTCGAACCCAGGACCTATCAGTCCAGGTATTCCATGGTGATTCAGCTTCAATCTATTCATGATCTCAACTATAAAAACTACTATGATATCCACATACCTCTCTTCTGATAATATTGAGTACTAGATAATTTTTTAGCGATTATCAATATAGGGTTGTTAAGATTGTTAAGCTTCATTAAGATCATAAACTAATCAATTTTAGGCTACTATTGAAAATCTAGAAGTACTGGACCAATGTTTCGTCTTAGTATGGGACTCCACAGTACTTCGCATTCACCATACTGCACTCAGGGCTTGAACCCAATATCTTCGGTCACGTGCACAGTTACACACCGAACAAAATGGAAGATGATCGCACAATATCATGGATTGATGAAAATTGATACATTAACATTGTTGAATGTCGGGCCAGTATTCAGTGATTGTTTATATGAAGTCATTTATGAAGTTAGCTTATATTACATAGTTGTAATCGATGAATTTATCTTTTCTTCTTAAATAGAATTGGTTATAGTATTCCAATGTTTACTGGATTCCTACTCTTGTTTGCATCAACAGTTGGTAAGTTGTTCATTTATATTTCCATAGAATTTTCTTATGTATATATATATATATATACATATCAGGCAGTCAGTAATCTACAACGTAGGACCTTCGACACATATGCATCGGTCCAAGTTGACAAACCTTATTAGCACTACAAGATGAACATCGGATTCATAGACGCAGTTAATTAAATGGTGGTAATATATAAACTTCACCCCATCGCACAAGCAAGTGGGTATCAGGACTCAGTAGCCGAGTGGATAACGCGATGGAGTTTGAAGCGAGGGTACTGGGTTCGAGTCCCAGAGTGGAAATCACCTCTGAGATGCAGGTACATACAGCTGATGAGTCCCAAATAGGACGAAATGGTGCGCGTCCTGAATTCCACTGCTAGCCACTATCTATTTTTGCTCATAATACTTGTGAATTAAGGCTATATCGAGGCAATATGCAAAGTATGCACATATGCCAATTAGATACTGACCAGTTACAGTCCTAACACATCGATGGGAAGATTCAAACAAACAATACTGAGTGAATATAAAAGAAAGATTGTATATAAAGATATAGTACAGGAACAAAGAAACATATGAAGCCATCTTAGTATCAAGGTTTAAGGGAAGATAAAGAGTGTATACACCTACGCTATTGTGATCGATTCTGAGCCATATCACCTAGAGTCTCCAACCATTGGTTACGATAGTCACGTGGACCCCAAATTTATAAATATATGTTTAAATGAATAAAGAATTATGTCTTAATATAACAAATATTCATCATTGATTGTGTTAATCTAATAAACGGTCAGTATATAAATTTACTTGGTAGCGTTTGCTTTTATCTTCACACTAATGTTTAAGACTGCAATTGATCAGTCTCTTATTGGCAATATGTGCATCCTGTGCGTATTGCCTCGATATTTCATTAAGTCACCAGCATTATAAGCTTGGATGAATGGTGACTAGCAGTGAAATACAGGATGCATGTTTCGTAGAATTTTGAAACTCGTCAGTCAGATGTACCTGCACAGATGGTTGATAAATACCTACTGTTGTTGGAAAACACACATACTTTTTAATCGTAAATGTTGTGGAATGTACTCCGAGATATGAACACGTACAAATTTTGTTTTCTGTTCTTCCATTGAAAGTACTTAAATAAAAAACATCTGAATGGATAGACTGTATTTTTATAGTTGAAATCATGATTCAATTAAAGCTAAACTACCATGGAAAACCTGGAAGCACTGGTCGGTCGTTATGTCCTGTTGTGGGACTCGTCAGCAGTGCGCATTCATGATCTCACCTCGCGAAATTCGAACATAAGAACTATCGGTCATTCACGCGAACGCCTACCCTCTAGATCACTGAGCCGGCCGTCATCCAACGGTGTTTATGTCTAACTTCAACCAATCCACGAAATTGAGCAACCGTTTGAATCTCGCGAGGCGGGATCGTGAATGCGCATTGTCACTGAGTAGTTCCACAATAGGAAGAAACAGTCGTCCAGTACTTTCATGTTTTCCATGATAGTCTAGCTTCAATTGACTCATGATTTCAACTCTAAAACTACTTATAATTATCAACATAAGTAGCATACATCACAGTTACAGAAACGATAAAATTAATTTCCTCTGAAGAGCTTTTGTTAAGAAACACAAAAGTCAAGGGTATGAAAACTTTTGATGGATGTATTAAACAAGATCATTTGAGATAAGGTGGTGGTTGGAGGTGGTCAACAGGAAACCCTGGACCCAGGTTTCGTGCTACTTGGCACTCGTCAGAAAGGTGTACCTGTAATCTTGAGGGATTCGATCCCGTGTCATTCAGTTTCACAGTCAGAGACGTTACCACTGAGCTATTCGGGCCGCGACCTACCACCTGTAGGACTGAGATGTAATCACAATTGATTGATCACTGGGTGGTGATCAATATCATGCGTGTTAAGTCCTTCTTAGTGCTGATCGAATGCCATCAATTAAGTTGCAATGTAGTCAATTCTTCTTTTACTATAAATAATGTTTTCCTATTCATTAAATAGTTGGTAATTTCCCTTTTATTGTTTTATCACAGTTTTTGCTTTCGAGATGAATTTCTACGTTTTATTAGTTGCCAGAGCTATTCAAGGTGTTGGGTCAGCGTGTTCATCTGTATCAGGTAAGTTAGGCATAAATGAATCTAATATCTAACATACATTATAGAATTTAGACTTGTCAACAATTTATATTACAGATTTAATTTATCTAGATAATCATTAATATAGGACTCAGTAGTTAAGTGGATAACGCGTTGGTGTTCGAAGCGAAAGGTACTGGGTTCGAGTCCCAGAGTGAACATCAGGTACATCCAGCTGACGAGTCCCAAACAGTATGAAACGCTCATCCTAGATTCAACTGCTAACCAATAATCACTAAAATGCCTAGTGAGTATTGAATAGGTATCTTTTTCTATTATGAGATTATCATCAGAAAGAGGGTTTTGTGGAATTTGTAGTAATTTGAATAGTTGAATTCATAAGTCGATTAAAGCTAGACCACCATCGAAAACGTGGAAGCATTAGACGACTATTTCTCCCTAGTATGAGACTTCTCAACAGTGCTCATCCACGATCGCTTACACGGGACTCGGACTCAGGACCTTCGGTCTTGCAAGCGAACGCTTAGCATCTAGATCAATGTGTCCGTATCCAACGGCGTTTTTTACTTAAAGTGTCTGGAAATATTCTTTCTTTTTTCTAATAATAATCTTTGTCTCCATGGGATAATATTATTAGAAGAACTATGACAAACTATTTTGTATAGCACCCTTGATAATGTATACTTACAATATTGAGCTGTTACCATTCATTCCTTATGATTGTTGATTCTACCCTGAAATCAAAAGAGAATGAGACTTTTATGAAAAATCCAATATACATAAAGTTTGTTTATAATCTCAAACTAAGTACTCGGTATTATAAGCCAAGATGGATAATGGCTAACAGTGGAATCCAGGACGCTCGCCACTTCGTCCTATTTTGGACTCGTCAGCTGGATTTTCCTGCATCTCAGAGTGGACATCAACAACTCTGAGATCTGAGTACTCGGGATATTAGTATATCGTTGGATTATGAATAGCACTAGAATAAAATAAGCTGGTTTGATCCAATTTGAGATTCTTATATCATAATTAATTGTAACTGTACTAATGTTACCATCAACATTCTAAAGTAATCTCTATCACCTCAGATTTTATTATATCAGTTATTTGTAACTACAAACACTATTCAGGACTCAATGGCCGAGTGGATAACGCGAAAAGTGCTGAGTTCGAGTCCCAAAGTGAACATCAACTCTGAGATGCAGGTACATCTAGCTGATCAGTCTCAAATAGGACGAAGTGGCGTGAGTCCTGGATTCCACTACTAGTCACTATCTATCTTTGCTTATTAAGGTGTGATGTGTGTTTGTATGTGTACCGGTAATCACTTAATAGTGCATTATTATTGATTTCAAAAAAAAGAACAATAATGAAATAGTTGAAAGCGTGAGTCAATTGAAGCTAGACCACCATGGAAAACCTAGAAACACTGGACAGCTGTTTCGTCCTATTATGGGACAGTGCGGATGGCAGTGCGCATCCACGAACCCGCTCTCGCGAGTTTCGAACCCAGGACCTACCAGTCTCGAGCCGAAGCCCTTAACCGACAGACCACTGAGCTGGCATCCAACGGTGTTAATGTCCAACTTCAACTGATCCACGAAGTTGAGCAACCATTCACCAATTGTCTTCAGTGAGTTCCTATATCACAACAGACGTGGTTTTGAACTCCACTGGTCACTGTTTCTCACTAGAGCTCCTAGATATACTTCTCGAAGTCACTAGTGAGCATATGATTATATTAATTATCAGAAGGGGTTTTGTAGAGATTTAGTATTTTTCATAGTTGAAAACGTGAGTCAATTGAAGCTAGACCACCATGGAAAACCTAGAAACACTGGACAGCTGTTTCGTCCTATTATTTTCAATTATGAAAAATACTAAATCTCCACAAAACCCTTTCTGATAATAATGAAATACCGTACTATGTTGTTTACCTTGTGAAACCTACTTTATACTCTTGTATAGTTTACTAGTAAACATTTCATCATCTGTTAAAACTATGTGACGTTATTTTACACTGATATAGAATAGATTGAATAAGATTAGTAATGATACATAGGACATGTGTTTCGTCTTATTTATGACTCGTCAATTGAATGTAGCTACATTCTCTAGTTAATATTCTCTTGATAACTTGAATCTTGAATCGTTCCCTTTAAACAACATCACGTTATTTACTTAGCTAATAAGTTCAGATAACTACTCACATGAAGTCATTCATAAACATGTGAATTCATATTAGTACATTCATACTTCAAACGTACTTTAGTAGTATTATGAGATGATAGTGTGGTGTGATCTACTTATATCCATATAAGTAGTATATGGTGTGGGTCAGATATAGAATGTATTTTGGCAGAAGACCGATTAGGAAAGAACTGAAATGAAGCGCAATCGTTTGGAAAATGCATGAGCAATGGAATAAGAGAAGAAACAATCAAGATTGAAACAATTGGTTGTTAATTTCCAAATTGGCTGTTCATTGTTTGGTTATCAGAATTTACTGAGATAGTCTGTAATCTTTTGCTTAAATACATTCGATTGTCCCCAACTAGTGTTCTGTTCACTACAATAGACAATGTTGTTTCTGTAATAAAAATATGTATACAAGGCAACCATTAAGAATTTGAAAAGTATAAATCAAAATTTGGCTTAATAGTTTGTAATTGGTTTGTCACCATTCAATGTTTAATCCATTGTAAATGTCTTAGTCCTATATGACATTATTTACAACCTGGACAATTCATTGATATTCTCTGACTATGAAGCTGTGTCACTCAATGTCGATTCCACCAGAAAGTATCAGTTCCTTCAAGATTACAGATACCGCTTACTTATAAGTGTCAAATATCGCATAGCCTAGTTTCAGGGTTACCAATTGAATGCTTTCAATCACTACAATGACTTAATAAATATATGTATTTAAGCAACCTAAGAAAAAAGCTCAGATTTGCGACAATATATTTGAACTAGAGGATAACCGATCGTATTTAATCACAAACTTACAAAATCTTTTAGTAAAATCTGAGACTTACTTACGTCTGTTACTCCCAATGGAGCATACGCAGCCAACCAGCATTCACCAACACACTCTGTCCTCGTCCTTCCTTTCTAGTTCTATCCATCTTTCGTTCATTCTTCTCATTTCTGTCTCCATTTCTCGGTATAATGTGTCCTTTGGTCTTCCTCTTTTCCTTTGACCTTCAGGAATCCATGTGAGAACTTGCCTTGTGACACAGTTGGATGATTTCCTCAATGTGTGTCCTATCCACTCCTAAGCGCTTCTTTCTGATTTCTTCCTCCTCTGGAATCTGTTTTGTTCTCTCCCACAGTAGAATGTTGCTGATAGTTTCTGGTCAACATGATCTAGTCTTAATGAACAATTCATATATTTGAAATGAAATAAACTACAACATAGATTTGAGTTGTCATTGTACATGAGTACAATGAGATGAATTGATCAAGACAAATGTTAAAGTAGTAGAAGATGGAATAGAATCAGTGTTAGTAGACTATATAATTGAAGAATAACTAATAATTTAACAGAATATAAAGTGTCAATTAATTTCCAGCTTCAATATCTAAGTGAAGAAACATTTTGTGTATATCTGTTCTATTGAAAATGATTGTATACCATACTACCCTACATCTCTAATCGTTAATGATAATGATAATAATAGCGTAGACCCTAATCAAGTTGTTGAAACCTAACTAGACGACTCAGTTCAATAGTCAGTGTTTTCATGAAAACTGATGTCACGTTATGATATGAAAGTTCTTAGAATTCATCTAACGTACGCTTACAACAGCAAACCTTGCTTATTTAGGTAGGCCGTGTTTACATATACGTAATACATCTCGAAAATTTTATTTATTAGACAGCATTAAGAGTGTGGTGTGGTCTACTTATATTCACATAAGTAGTATATGGTGATGGTCAGGGATAAAATGTATTTCAGTAGAAGATCGATAAGGAAAGAATAGGAATGAAGCGCAATCGGTATGAAAATACATGAACAATGAAATCAGAGAACACGAACTGATATTTACAGAAGGAACAGTTAAGATTCAGACAATTGATTGATAGTTTGCAAATAAACCGTTTACTGTATGGTTATCAAAATTTAGGGAGATAGTCTCTAATTTGTGCTTAAATACATTCGATTGTACCTACTCGTATTCTTGTTCCATTACAAGAGGAGTAAATTAATGGATGAGTGTAATTCTCTACATCTTGTTGTGTTGATGATTCATTCACAACCACATTTGGCTAACTCTTGTACAAATGTTATTTTGTATTTTATGGTACGATATGGTCTGTCTGTTTGGTATATAAACCCAGTATGTTTGAAATACAATGATTCATACCGCAGAGGCTGTTCTGGACGTAACTGTTTGGGCTAGATAGTAAGCAGGACCGATAAGTACTATAGACTGCTGGTACGGTTTTCGTGTATCACTATTCCAATCGACAATTCGCTGCTCTTTGATTGGCGGTCTTATCACATTCATACGTTAACATGTCATCCACTCAGCCAATAGTTATAACAAATAGATTATTCAGTTGTTGTTGTTGTTGTTTTTCTCTTCTCATTATTTAGGAATGGGAATGTTGGCCACTTATTATAATGATGAAACAGAACGAGGTCGTGCATTTGCTATTGCTTTAAGTGGACTTGCAATAGGATTATTAAGTAAGTTATTCTATATTTAAATTAATGTTAATGAAACCAATGTATTATATTAAGTAGTATAATGAACACAAAGAGTAGTGTAATATGGATTACTGTATTTCAATGATAATAAGTACACTGTTGGATAGAAACTTGAATAATCAACTTACATTTACCAACATACACAGCAGATAACCCCTAGATACAAGAAATTATACAACAAGCCAGGTAGAGATAGAGTCAGATAGATAGATAGATAGATAGATAGATAGATAGATAGATAGATAGATAAATAAATAAATAGATAGATAGATAGATGTTAGGGGCGGCCAAACCGAAACGTGGCATCAGAGCTTGAAGTCAATATCTGCTAGTCTGAGCCATGTTGGTAAATGTTAACTACTTGGTTGGGGCCGACGTGACTATCGTAACCAATGGTTGGAGACTCTGTGTGATATGGCTCAGAATAGATCACAATAGGGTAGGTGTATACATTCTTTATCTTCTCATAAACCTTGACATTAAAATTGCTTCATATCTGTCTTTCTTCCTTTACCACATCCTTATATTCAAACTCTCTTTTATATATTACCACCATTTAGTTAACTACTTCTATGAATCCGGTGTCCATCTTATTGTGCTAACGAGGTATGGCAACTTGGACCGATGCATAAATGAGTCTGGTCCTACGTTAAAGCTGACTGACTGACTGAACCGCTAAACCGTTACTATGTTTCTCCATTTCCAAATATATGTTTTATATAATCCATTCATTATTTCAATGTTATACATTGCTTTGTTTTGTTTTATTTTTTTTAAGTTGGTGCCCCTTATGGAGGAATAACATATCAGTTCATAAGTAGACAAGCACCATTTCTTATTTTGGCTAGTTTAACTATAATCGATGGAAGTAAGTTAAAGTTATGGACTCTCTCTTAATTGAATAAAAAATGACAAAGAAACTAAAAAGTACAAAACGATTACAATTTATAATGTTGAATATTAATCATAGTGCCCTGGTACGTTCGAGAGTGGGGAAAATTAGCTATCCCTCTCAAAATGCTCTCACATGGCCACGTGTATGTAGCCTCTGTCAGGGAAGTCCTACTCACTACCTTCTCGTAGTGGGGGTGATGTTTACGAAATTGAGAGGACGAAAAGCGAATGTCCAGAGCTTTAACCGGGTTGGAGGACACGGAAAGTCCACCTAGGAGAGTTGCAAAACCCTCATTCCAAACCAATGGTGCACATGGGCTAACTCCAGTATCCCGAGGGGACAAATGGTGTATGAATCATTTGTTAGTCACCGGCTCCATAAGACTGCATCTCCTCACGATGCTTTACTGCCTTGTGGATCAGACCTTTAGGCCAGAGGCTCTAGGTGTGGCTCCCTACATGTTCAAAATTAAAAGCAGCTTTCTTTTTACATTTTAGATTGTAGAATTATCATGGTGTATTATAAAGATTGTTGCATATTCATAGTGTCCATTCAAGAACTGATACTACTATCCTGTTGTTTCATCTTGGCACAAGACTCCTTAATAGTTTACATCCACTGCCTTACCAACGTCAAGGTCGCGCACACTAGACCGATAGTGTTAGGCCTAATTCACAACCAGAGGCATGAATCTGTACTTCTTCGGAGTCTCACCACATACTTACGCCTGTTACCCTTCGTAGAGGAACATAGACTGCCGACTAGAATTCTTTATCAAACTCTGTTCTGGGAAATCTTTTCCAATTGTTGAATATATAATAAATCCTTTACAAATAATTTTTTTCATGGTTGTATTTGTGAAACTGTGTTCATTCCAATCGTATTCCATCACCGTTCTTTTTTCCTTCCATAACTTAGTCCTACAACTATTAGCCTTAAAACCACGTGTTCAACGTGAAAGTCAAGAAGGTTCAGGATTAATTGAATTATTAAAAGATCCATATATTTTAATAGCTGCTGGTTAGTTTATGTTTAATTAATTTAATATTTATTGGCATAATCCTTTTTAAGATAACATGTAACACATACTACTTATTAGTAGATTGGTTTTAAGACATTTGTTTTCTTTTGTGTGATCAAAGCTTTATCTCAAAACGGTCGAAAAAAACAGATATTGACATCATAAGCAAAGATGGATAGTGGATAGTGGAATCCAGTTTGACGCGCGTTTCGTCCCATTTGGGAATCGTCAGCTGGATGTACCTGTATCTCAGAGTTGATGTTCGCTCTGGGACTCGAACCCAGTACCTTTCGCTTCAAACTCCATCACGTTATCCACTCAGCTACCGAGTCCTGATAGCCACTTTCTTGTGTAATCGCAGTCCTAAACATTCATTGAGAAGATTCAAACAAACAATATCAAGTAAATTTAAACTTCACCACATTGCACAACCTAGTGGCTATCAGGACTCATTAGCTAAGTGGATGACGCGATGGCGTTTGAAGCGAAGGGTACTGGAATCGAGTCACAGAGTGAACATCAATTGTGAGATGCAGTTACATCGAAATCACGAGTCCCAAATAGGCCGAAGTGGTACACGTCCTGGATTCCACTGATAGCCACTATCCATCTTTGCTCATAATACTTGTAAATTAAGTCTATATCGAGGCAATACGCATAGTATGCACATATGCCAATAAGAGACTGACCAGTTACAGTTCTATACATCCATTGGCAAGATTCAAACAAAACATATCAATTGAATTTAGATATTGACATCATTCTATAAAGTTATTATTTGTTTGTCTTATTCATGATAATGTGTCTAGATTGTTTAACTGAAGTTCAGAATTAGTCACAGAGAAGATGTTCCATGTGTTATTTATTTTCCGCCTCGATCTTGAATTTTGACATTCTTTCCTAAAAATAGTTAACCTTTTCCTGGCCAAGAAATTATGTGGTTTTGGTGCCATCGTTATCCAAGGATCCATGATCACACCCGCTTAACTGAATTTACTTTTAGATGAGGCCATTATATGGTTGCAGAAATCATAGGATATCATAGAAGAAGTCTATGAAAGTGGTCATCGAATGGATCCTAGACGACAGGATCCAAATTACTAATCTACATCGTACTTACCCTGTTGATTTGGAAAAGTGACGAGCTATAACTCATTACACCTGAGTACTCTGAATTATATCACCCTTATTGAAACGTTGTCACCAAGCCGACAGCGATTATACTCATGAAACACAGAATCCAGTTAATGGTTGAAACATAAATCCATGTTCCCTCTGCATTAATATACACCTAGATGTGAATCTATTCTTTCCAGGACCAGTAGGCAAAATTTAACCATGATAATCAAAAAGTTAACATGCCCTTAATGCGACTGCACATCATCTCTAAGCACTGGATAGGGGTATAATTTGTTTAAATCTACTTTATCGAAAAGATTCAAGCATACCTTGGTCTTACTTAAATACCTCGGTGATTTTAAGTACAACTAAGATGAATGTATTTCATATCCCTAGACAGTTTTTAAATCACTGTTATTACCTTCTGGTAGAATAAGAGAATTTATTGTACGACCACGTTCGTATTAGAAATTCAATTTGATGTTTGTAATTGCTGTGAGTATATAAAGTCATCACTGTCAGGATTAACAGGACTGCAACAGCAGTTGTTCCAAAGAAACCACATAAAAGTCATCATTAGAAACTATAGCTTCTGTTAGTGTAGCCGTACACTTTGATAATGATATACTTTACTAGCTCAAGAAAGTTATAGTTACTTCCGTTAAATGTATCAACAATTTTAAGGAAATTGATACTCCCAGTCAAATTACAATTCAACAATCAAAATCTTTGACGCTTACTCCATAAATAAAAGTCTCTGATCATTATCTACAATATATTTACATGTGGGCATTATTAAGGAATCGTTGATTGATCTTCAATAGTGACACTGAATATAAAGTAAGTAGGTTCTACTTCATTTTATATAGTTGACTCCTCAGCAGTGCTCATCTACGAGTCCTAGGTTCGAATCTCGTAAGGCGGGATCGTGGATGCGCACTGCCATTGAGGAGTCCCACAATGGGACGAGATGGTCGTCCAGTACTTCCAGGTTTTCCATGGTATTCTAGCTTCGATTGACTTATGATTTCAACTATATAGGTTGACTAAAATCTGCATAAAACCCCCTTCGACTTTATTTTTTTCCGTTCACTTATTTCTTCTCTTCTTCTTTTCTTCATACTATACACATTAAGGTTCAATTACTTTTGGAAATTTGGGTATGTCTGTATTAGAACCAACTTTACCATTATGGATGAAAACTACAATGAATTCAACTGAATGGCAACAAGGTGTTGCATTTCTACCATCTAGTTTATCCTATTTAGTTGGTACAAATATATTTGGACCGATATCACATAGAATTGGTCGGGGATATAGTGCAGGTTTAGGTTTATTGATTACGACTGGATGTTTAATAGGGGTAAGTTTGGTTTTTCATTATGTGATGATGAATCTTAATGTCTATTGATTCAATGAGGTTCTTCTAATCAACATAGACGAGTCAAAACACGATTATGGCAATTGGATAAACTTTCTGTTACGTACTATCCTTTACTATCATCTTTATTTAAAATCTCAGTAAGTGAATCTATCATTTATGGTAGACATTTGAGTGACGCTAATGTTACTTACTTACTTACGACTGTGAAGCCTTGTGGAGGATCAGAGGTCACCTACTAGCATACTCTATCCAACTCTGTCTTGGACAATCGTTTCCAGTTGTTTCCAGTTACTATTTATCCTTTTGATGTCTGCTTCCAATTCTTGGAGCAGTGTGGTTTTTGGTTTTCCTCTTTTCCGTTTTCCTTCAGGAAGAGAAGACGCAAAAGTGACGTTGAAAAAGTCTAGATACTTATAAGTATCTTTTTCTAATATGATATTATCGTCAGAAAGGAGGCTTTGTAAAGATTGTAGCAATTTAATAGTTGAATTCATTAGTCGAATAAAGGTGGACCATCATGGAAAACCTAGAAGCCGTGTATAGACTTTTCAGTAGTTCACATCCACGATCCCGTATATTAGTTTTACATAGAATTCTAAACCCGAATTGTCTATTAGATCACTTCAGTCATCATTTTCATACTAGTGGCTGGCTGCAAGATGTAATTCCTGGATTTCTAGTGAGAATCTGTGACCAGTAGAGTCCAACCGCGTTCGTTGTGAGGCAGTTACACATTGAAGACAATAGTAGACAGTCACATAATGTTTTGGATTGGTTTTAAGTTAGAAATTAACACTGTTGGATGTCAGTTCAGTGGTCTAGTCGGTAAAAGTTCGCGTGCTCGACTGAAGGTCTTGGGTTCAGTTCCTGTGTGAGGGGTCGCGGATACGCACTTCTGGGGAATCCCATACTAGGACGAAAAAGCCTTCCAGTGGTTCCACGCTTTCCATGGTGGTCTAGTTTATATCGACCCATGAATTCAACTATTAAATTACTACAATCTACACAAACCCTATTTCGTATATAATAATAGTCAATGAATGAAAGAGTAACTTGCATTAAAATTCATATAGTATAATTCAAATATTTAATAACAACTTTTGTTCATTCTTTTCATGCCTGTCTCCATTTCTCGAAGTGATGTGTTCTTTGGTCTTCCCCTTCTCCTTTGGCCTTCTGGAGGATTCCATAAGAAGGCTTGTCTTGTGACGCAGTTGGATGATTTCCTCAATGTGTGTCCTATCCACTTTCAGTGCTTCTTCCTGATTCTTCCTCCACTGGAATCTGTTTTGTTGTCTCCCACAGTAGCTTGTTGCTGATAGTGTCTGGCCAACGGATCCGAAGTATCCTGAGAATACAACTATTAATAAACACTTGTATCTTATGGATGATGGCCTTCGTAGTTCTTCACATCTCCGCCCCATGCAGTAGAACTGTCTTGACATTTGTAGTGAAAATTCTGATCTTCGTGTTGATTGACAATTGTTTTGAGTTCCAAAAAATACACAATTTATTGTAAAGTAGTTCTGAAGCGTCTATCTCTGATCTCGATTTTTTTACACCCATCTAACAGTTCAATCCAATGGTTATTAATATATCTCTTATGTATTTGGGTTTGTTAAGAATAGTTTGAAGATACCATCAGTATTGTAGTTTGACAACACTTTACCAGTAACATCATCTATAATCGGATCGCGCCCATCCAGTAAATTCAAAAGTCAGAAGCGAGTAGGTTGGAAGATATATTTGATGGGTTATCAATATATTGAGAAGTGACTGATCTAATCTAGCTAATGATCGTCGGTGATGTTTCCGTCGCTGTTCTGAAAAGTGATCTAGTACGGATGCATGACAGAGCGCCTTCAACAAAATGAGTCCACTAAAACTAATATGGTCAGCATCCAATGTCAAACACTTACAGAGCTATTGATTTTGGGGATTTATTTACAGTTACAGATCACTCACCCCCCCCCTTGTAAAGGAGTGATGACCCTATAGCTACAAGTTAAAAGATGACTGTTATGTCCTTAGCTTGTATGATTGCCAACTTAGATACGCTCATTTATACGATCAAACTAATGACGCATATACCAGTATGATCAGCCTAGAGTTCCAATCGATCCTCTTTCCGCTTAACTCTGTTTGCTAAGCCCAGAACATCGATTTCAGCCTACTCTACATGAATTGTATATTTCAGACATAATAAGTATATATACAAACTAAACGGACCATATCATACCATAAAATAGAAAATAACATTTATACAAGATCAAGCAAAAAGTGGCTATGAACGAGGGAGACTGTTACTAATAGATTAAGGATAGTAAGTCGTATAAAAGTAATCATTAGATCAAATAGAAACTCATAACAAGACATCCCTATTGCATAGGCAAGTGGCTATCAGGACTCAGTAACTGAGTGGATAACATGATGGCGTTTGAAGCGAAAGGTACTGAGTTCGAGTCCCAGAGTGAACATCAACTCTGAGATGCAGGTACATCCAGCTGACGAGTTCCAAATGGGACGAAACGCACGTCAAACTGGATTCCACTGCTAGCCACTATCCATCAAATGCCTGTGAATTAAGACTATATTGAGGCAATACGTACAGTATGCACATATGTCAATTAGAGACTGATCAATTGCAGTCCTAAACGTCAATGGAAAGGTTCAAACAAACAATACCAAGTGAATTCATGCATATAATATAGTTACTGAATAGTTATACAATAAGAATATCCATATAGTATTACTTCACAAAATCGATCATAACAGTTACCGTTCATTTCTTCTAGTTCCAATGTAACTAATGCCCTATTTTGGTCTTTTATTTATATTTCAACATTATTAAGTATGGGGACTACAGCACAGCTGAAATGCATAAAAATAACAGTAACTATTTTGATGGGGCTTTGTTCTTTAATCTGGATGATTTGGTCGTGGAGCTTTCATCGTCCTTCCGAACAACTTCATCAGCATATCGAAATGAACAGGACAATTTGTGAACCACATGTGAAGAAATTCAAACACTTCACTCCTACCTGAAGTCTGTGCTGATGATGTCGTTCAGAAGAACGATGAAGGCTTCATGACCGAACCATTTAGCTCAGAGAACAAACCCACATCAAAATCATCCACCTGATCTACAAATCTTCTCCAACATCCTAACAGTAACTTCAGTTTTAAATAACATTGAATAACACTTCAGAGAATGAGTTTTTCTTTTTCGCTGATATTTTTATTCTTAAAAAACAATAACATTAAATTGCTTTTTTCTTGCCCCCTCCCCCCCCCTCAGTTACCATTTTCAAAACGAATGGAACATTTAATAGCACCTATGTTTGGTTTAGGATTTGCTGTTGGTAAGTAAGTAGTATTATGAGTAGTATTCATGGTGTATTGATCATTTTAAATAAACATTTAAAAAAGATAACATCATGTTAATGTAACTTTTTTTCCTCAGTCAATCAAACTATGTGTTCACATATGATACCAAATGAACGGGGATTTGAATCACAAATAAACTATGGATCTTCTTAATGCTGGAGACATATTACTATTATTAATCGTGGGCTTCAAAGAGTAAACAAAACGGTTATATTTTATATAGTTGAAATCACGAATCAATTAAAGCTGGACAACCATCAAATACTTGGAAGCACTGGAAGGTCGTTTCGTCCTATTGTGAGACTCCTCAGTGGTAGGGCGCATCCACTATCCCGCCTCGTGAGATTTGAACCCTCACTTTCTCCTGGTGATCGACTGGATTATGAAGACGACGACATCTGGAGGGAAGCACTGGATACAGTGGACAACTAGGATGCAACTGAACAATTTAAACTTCGCAGATGATCTGGCTCTTCTATCATATACACAACAACAAATGCAGGAGAAGACGACTAGTGTAACAGTAGCCTCAGCAGCAGTTGGACTCAATACAAACAAAGGGAAAAGCAAGATTCTCCAACACAACAAAACATGAATCAATCGAATCACACTTGACAGAGAAAGTTTGGAGGATGCAGAAAGCTTCACATATCTGGGCAGCATCATTGATGAACACGGTGAATGTGATGCAGATGTGAGCGCGAGGATCGGCTAAGCAAGAGCATCATATTTACAAGTGAAGAACATCTGGAACTCAAAACAACTATCTGTCAACCAACATCAAAGTTAGAAATTTCAATATAAATGTCAAAACAGCTCTACTTTATGAGGCGGAATCCTGCAGAACTACGAAGGCCATCATCCATAAGTTACAAGTGTTTATTGACAGTTGTCTACGCAAAATACGTCGTATCCGTTGGTCAGACACTATCAGCAACATTCTGCTATGGAAGAGGACAAACCAGATTCCAATGGAGGAAGAAGTCAGAAAGAAGCACTGGAAGTGGATAGGATACACATCAAGGAAAGCACCCAACTGCGTCACAAGACAAGAATCCTGAAGGCCAAAGAAGACATTACTCGGATAAATGTAAACAGATATGAGAAGAATGAACAATAATTGGATAGAACTAGAAAGGAAGGCTCAAGACAGAGTGAGTAGGTTGGAGAATGATGGCCGGCGGCCTATGCTTCATTGTGAGTAACAAGCGTAAGTAAGTAAGGACTGTTTGATTGTGCATTGAACAATAAGTTGGTCTTACCTACTTGAGTTCTCGTTTACTACACAATGATATAATATTCACCGAGTATTCGCGTTGCGTAATAATTGCATAATGTATCAGTGTTTATAGATTAATATTATTGTAAATTATACATAGGTATATTAGTGTAGAGCTATGATGAATAACTGATTGCAAAAAAAATTTTCCTTGTCCTATTCATTTATTTGTATCTTGTTTTGTTTACTCAAGGTACGTAAAATGATGTTAAGCTGAAAATTAGGATATAATTATGATAATACTGTGGTATGCGCTACTTATGTCAATAGATATATAAGTAGTATGTAACACCAGTCGAAAGTGAAATGCTAGAGAGTAGAAGATTAAGAAGATCAAATAAAGAGTGAATAGGAACAGTGAGTCATTGGTATGGAAATGAAGGAACAATAAAGTCTCAGACATGGTAAGCATACATGAATAGTGGGTAGCAGTGGAATCCAGTTTGACGAGCGTTTCGCCCCATTTCGGACTCGTCAGCTGGATGTACCTGCATCTCAGAGTTGATGTTCACACTGTGACTTGAACCCAGTGAATTAAGGCTATATCGATGCAATTCGCACAGTATGCATACATGCCAATTACAGACTGACCAGTTACAGTCCTAACAAATCGATGGGAAGATTCAAACAAACAACACTAAATGAATTTAAAGTCACAGACAGTTGATGAACATTGTGCAAATGAAGTATTGAACGCATGATATTCACATTTTAGCAAATAACTTCATCATTCTGCGTTCAAATACATTTGATTGACCCTACCTGTATTCTTGCTTGTTATACCACATACCTAACAAATATGTACGTAGAATAGAAATCTTGAATAATTTCATCTTGGATATGTATCTCTCTTCTACACCAACGCATTGTTCTCTTTTTCTCTTATTTTTTTTGATTGATTTAGGCATGGTTGATTCATCAATGATGCCAATCATGGGTTATTTAGTAGATTTAAGACATGTTGCAGTCTATGGAAGTGTTTATGCTATAGCAGATGTGGCATTCTGTTTTTCATTTGTAATTGGTAGGGTTAATTGATTGTTTTCTCTTTGCTTTTAAAAGTAAATTTTCATTTTATTGAAGTTGTCTACTTTGAATCTGGATGGTTTATTCTTGAAGGTATCATTTTCTTATTGGAAGACATCAGTCTTAGATGAATGACAAACTTCAAATACCCTTTGTATGTGGAATTGTCGAAGAGATAAGATCAGCTTCGGTTAGGAAAATTGAAAAGTATCAGGTACTAGTCTCTGAAATTAATAGAAATAATTAAATGCTAAATAGCATGAATATTCAAAATGTACATAAAGTAGAGATGGATTACTTCATTTGTCCTATATCAGTAACTCATAGGTCCTGGGTTCGAATCTCGCGAGGTGGGATCGTGAATGCGCACTGCTACTGAGGAGTCCCATAATAGAACGAAACGACCGTACAGTGCTTCCAGGTTTTCCATCGTAGTCTAGCTTCAATTGATTCATGATCTCAACTATCAAAATTACTATATCAGTAAGTTAATATGTGAAGCATATGAAATATACATTCCAAAATTCACTGTTTGTTTTTTGTATATTTTTCCGTACTACTTATTGCAAACTCAGTAGTTCGAATAATTAAAATCATTTTTTGTTTAAATTCACATGGTTTTGTTTGCTTGAATCTCTCCACTGATATTTAGGACTGTAATTGATCAGTCCCTTATTTGTAATATGTGCATCCTGCATGGATTTCCTCTATATTTCCTTAAATCATAATGTGTTATAAGCAAAGATGGATGGTAACTAGCATTGGAATCCAGAACGCGTGTTTCATCCTATCTGGACTCGTCAGATGGATGTGCCTCCATCACTCAGTTGATGTTCACTCTAAGACTCAAACACATTACCGTTCGCTTCAAACGCTATCATGTTGTCCACTTAGCTAATGAGTCCTGATAGCCACTAGCTTGTGCAATAGAGTGAAGTTTTAATTCATTTAGTTAAGTAGACAGACCCACTCAGATATTTAACAAAGAAACGAGTAGAATAAAGAAATATTTCTTTTCAATCGGATTTTCATCATAACCCCACAACAATAACGAAACAGTATTGATCGAATACTGAATTTAAATAATCACTTGTGTGATTAAAACATGATCTAACTGAAATCATGGACCGATTAATGTTAGACTACCTAGAAGTATTGAATGACCTTTTCGTTTTATAAGCAAAGATGGATAGTGACTAGCAGTGGAATCCAGTTTGACGCGCGTTTCATCTTATTTAGGACTCGTCAGCTGGATGTACCTGTATCACAGAGTTGATGTTTACTCTGGGACTCGAACCCAATACCTTTTGCTTCAAACGCCATCGTACAGTATGCACATATGCCAATTACAGACTGACCATTTGCAGTCCTAAACATCAATGGGAAGATTCAAACAAACAATACTTTTCATTTTAGTTTGGGACATCTTAGCAATGCTCATTCACAACACCTTCAACCAGGAATCCGATCCAGTACCTTCGGTCTCGCACTTAAACTCTTAACCTCTAGACCATTGAGTCAGGAACCAATGGTGTTAATATGTAACCTTAAACAATCCACAATATATTAGCTTTTAGCATGATTAAAAAATTATTAAAAAGAGATTCTCTCTCATTCTGTTGAGTATTTTTCACTTTCTATTGTTTAATATGTGATATTTTTCTTAACAACATTCAACTCTGTTACGTCCTTGATCTGTCTACTCACTTTCATGTCGAGGATAATTTGGATAATGTAGATTAAGACCTTAACGCGATAGACTGACTGGCTTACTCTTAAGGCTAGTATGCGTGAGTTCGAAGTGGGGATAGAGAGATGAGAACTATTCTATCACCTGATTAGCTGACAGGCACTCACGAGAGAGAAGATAAGATAACTGGAACACTACTTAACTTATCCTGATTCAGATCTGGTACCCGATTTTCTGATAGGTGTACAAAGATACGTGAATAAATAAATAACTAACCTGACCACAAAAGACAATTATGTCCAAAACTGGTGGATTAGAGTAGAAAATAGTAGAGTACAAAAGATTACGTTTAAAGTACAATGGCTTTGGTACAGAAAAGATTATGGCAGTAAATCATACACCAAACGTAAGCTTATGATCTGTAGAATAGACTAGAAACAAAATTTTTCAAAACATATCATTTACTTACTTACACCTGTCACTACTCGCGAAGGAGCCTAGGCTTGAAGTTTAAATTTACTTGATATTGTATGTCGGAATCTTACCACTGATGTTTAGAACTGCAATTGATAAGTTTTTAATTGGTATATGTGCATATTGTGCGTATTGCCTCGACATTTCCTTAATTCACAAGCATTATGAAAAAAGATAGACTCAGTAGCTGAGTGGATAACGTAAATAGGATGAAACGTGCATCCTGAATTCCACTGCTAGCCACTACATATCTCTGCTTATCATGCTTGTAAATTAAGGCTATATCAACGCAATACTCACAGTATGCACATATGCCAATAAGAGACTGATCTTAAAACATCAATGGAAAGATTCAAACAAACAATACTAAGTGAATTTTGTTTTCTACCTTGTTAAAAGAAGATTAGTAGTTGAATTCATGAATCGATTAAAGCTAGAACATCATGGAAAACTTGGAAATACTGAACGGCCGTCCCGTCCTAATATTGAGACTCTTCAGAGATGTGCACCCGTATCCACACTCACTGGATTTTCACCCAGGAACTTTAATCTCACGTGTGAACACTTAACCTCTAGATCACTGGGATGGCATCCAATGTTGTCAGGTCATGGATAAGCACTGTTGAAGAGTCCCATACTAGAACGAAACGGCCATCTTATCCTTCTAGATTTTCTATGATGGTTTAGCTTTCATTGATTCATGAAATCAACTATTAAATTACTACAATCTCCAAACCACCTCCTTCCATATGTTAGAAAATTCATATTACAATTTTCATATTTCTCTTCTTCTATATTTTCTTTATATCTTTCAATAGGACCAATTGTTGGTTCTGTACTAGTGAAATACCTGGGTTTCCATTGGTAAGTCATTTCATTTAATTTGTATTAATTTTTCAAGATTATCACTTGAAACTTTAGTTTCATTAGATTGAAACATGTGACTTACTCACTCACTTACCTACTTACATAAATACTTTCTACTTTCATTCTGTCCTACCTTCTTTCCTTCTTTACATACATATATACTTACTTGATTACTTACCTACTTACTTACTCACTCACTTACCTACTTACATAAGTACTTCCTTCCTTACATACATACATACTTACTTACTTACTACTTTACTTACTTACTTACTCACTTCGTCACGCATCTATTCACTCACTTACTTACTTATTTACTTACTCACTCACTTACTTACCCACTCACTTACTTACTTAATACTTTACTTACTTACTGGTTAGCGAATTTTTAGAGAATTAGTTTTCTACAGCATGGGGTCGCTAACCCAATGCCTAACCTTCGTCTTTTATCTGGGCCTGGGACCGGCAGTATAGATGCTAAAATAGAAGAATTATTATTAAGATAATTCAGTTTTCATCAAGAACTGAACTTAATTAAATAACAACTAATAACCAGAAGTGATTGAACAGTTGACTAATTTTAATATGAGGTATCTCATTAATACGAATCTGTGCTCTTATTACGGATCATGAATACAAAGCATTCAGATCATGTTGTGACTGATTACCGTGTACCACTATTATTATTATTGTTCTTTACTATTTGAATGAATTTATAAGGTATCTACGTTGTTGTGATTTGTGTTGTACTGTGTTATTAGAGCCTAAATGATTCATTTGAAAAATTGTAGATCCGTTAAGGATATGAAACTGATCCATCTACTTATGATATCAACCTTCAAAACTACTAATAGTATTCGTTTTGTTAAGACAGAGCCACCGCCTAACTGATTCAACATCTGTCACATCGATCGGATATACTCATATATATATATTGGTACAAGGGGGCACCAGTCACTTAACTTGTTAGTGAGCTGTGATATTGCCGGGGTGCCCATACCGAAGCAAGTGTTTTTCTTAGGGGGGATACACCCGGAGCCTTTGACATAAAGGTCTGATCCACAAAGCAGTGGAGCAACATCAGGAAACGCAGTCCCATGATAGCCGGTGAAAAACAATAGGTTCGTACGCCATTTGTCCCTTCAGCATCCTGGGGCCCATATACACCACTAGTTTGGAATCAGAGTTTTCCAACTCCCTTAGGTGTATCTTCTATGTCCACTAACCCAGTTAAAGAATCGGACAATCGCTTTTCATTCGTAAACAACAATAATACTGCAAGAAGGAAGTGGGTAGAACTTCCTTGACAGTTTCTTTATACTCGTTGTCATGTGAAAGCATTAGGAGAGAGAGAGAGAGAGCTAACTCTCCTCACTCTCAGCCGTATCAGATCATTTAGTGTCCGTTAGCAAGAAACATCTTCTACAGATAGTGTGATAAGTGATAAAGCATTTCATAAGATTACTCAAATTCTTTTTTAACAATCCTAAAATCTTACTAACAGCAATAATCACTAACTCTTTTTTCAACTCAATTCATAGTTCTTCATAACCTTTGTCTTTTTCTGATAGGTTTAATTAACTAAATATCTGTACTCTTGAAATCTATGTTTTAAATGAAGTTGTACAGATTCATTTTGTTCTTTACCAAGTTTTCCTGTAATTCATCGTTTCTTTGTATTAACTATCATATATTGAAATGTTGGGTGGTAATTATGTTGGAGCGATCCTGATAAGCTCAGGAAACATTAAAAAGCATTTTATCCAATCAGAGTTTGATTAGAAGTTTTGCTAGGAACATTACGAAAGTGAGAAGTTACATGTAGAGTTTTTGATTGGCTATACTGCTACTATGTTTAGTAGTATTCTAGAATTTACAAGAAAACCCAAGGACTTTTAAAATACTATAAAACCTACATATTTTCTGTACATAAAGGAACCTTTGGAGTATAGTGCTTCTCGTATATTTTGTGCCTTTTCTCTCGTGTTCAAGTCGCTGTGTAGTTCTAGCTTGGGGGTTACAAGAATAGCTTAGGAACCGCGTACTGGCGCTCAATCAGCAAGACTTATCAAATTGTCACTAATTGAGTTATGCAATAGAAATGGTTGTATTAAAGTAGTTCATTTGTTCCAGAAATACTGTAAGCCTATAATGAATTACAAATATAACGGCTTAACAGACTGATATTACATATTCAGCTTACACATATTTAACTTAAAGCAAACCTTTAAAACGTAACAATTCAAGAATAGTTGAAATCATTAGTCAATTGAAACTAGAACACCATGGAAAACCTGGAAGCATTGGATGGCCGTTTTTTCCTATTACGTGACTCCTCAGTAGTGCACATCCACGATCCCTCACTCGCGAGATTCGAAACCAGGATCTACCAGTCTCACGACAGAGCACTTAACCGATAGATCACTGAGCCGGTCGTCATCCAACGGTGTTAATGTCTAACTTCAACCAATCCACGAAGTTTGAGCAACCGTTCACCACTTGTCTTCAGTGAGTAGTTACCTCACAACAGACGTGGTTTAAACTCCACTGGTCACTGTTTCTCACTAGAACTCCAGGACATGTATCTTGAAGTCAAACACTGAATTTATCAGTAAACATAACTTCCACCTTTTTTTTTCTTCTTTAAATAGTCTCCTTATTATTATATTTTAATCTTATTTTTAGGATGATGTGGATTACTGCAATCATTTGTTTTATCTATTCACCCTTAACATTATTTCTCAAGAATCCAGCACAAAAAGAACCTAGTAATCTAGAGGTAATATAACTTATCTACTTGTGTTCTTCTATTCTATAAGTTTCTATTCATGAATATGTAAGTGGTGTACAGCTGAGCATCGTCTGGGAATTGCTACAGACAAGTGAGATACACAGTCAGCCTGAAATGCTTGTGAGACTAGGAAGAAGGTTATAGAAAGCAATCTTCTATTAGTTTGAGTTATAGAACATACTTATGCCTGTTACTCCTAATGGAGCATAGGTCTCCATCGGAACATAAAATAGATTCAAATGACAGACTGAAGACTAAGTGTATATATTTTATTATAGAATATGTGTTCCCTCGGGACTTGAGTTGTTTGTATATTACAGGATGGCTATGATAACTGGAAACTTCAACAGTATTAGATTATCTTCAACCTATCAAGAATTTTCTAGTTCTTTACAAGGACTTGAGTCTTCTTTAACCAGGTTAATCATCTTTAAAGTAATCAGACTGCAGTTAACTCTGAAAAAAATTACATTCAGTGGAAAGAAAAACGCAATTAATAATAATCATTATGATCACTGAGATGGTGGAGAAGATTTGTAGCTCACGTCGGTGATTTTGATGTAGGTTTGTTCTCTGAGCTGGATGGTTTGGTCGTAGAGCTTTCATCGTCCTTCTGTACAACATCATCAGCACAAACTTCGTGTAGAAGTGAAGTGTTTGACCGACAGCTATCACCATGATATCAAGGGTCGGTGAATACATAACTCATCTAACACTTATCAAACTAAATACAAGTCTGATTATGCAAACAACCAATCATTATTTTCCTCACTCACATATCAATTACGTATAGTTGTTTTTCAATATTCTCAATAACATTTAGAAGAAAGTTCATCTATTCAAAAACTTTAATTATCACTAATTTAACCGATAAGCAAGATGAATGGTAACTAGCAGTGGAATCCAGAACACATGTTCCATCGTAATTGGGACTCCTCAGATGGATGTACCCGCAACTTACAGTTGATGTTCACTACATGACTCGAACACAGTACCGTTCGCTTTTAAATGTCATCATGTTATCCACCTAGTTACTGTTTCCAAATAGCCACTAGCTTGTGCAATAGAGTGACGTTTTAATTCATTTTTCTATTGGTTACTTGATGTTTAGGACCAAAATTGATCAGTCTCCTATTAACATATGTGCATCTTGTGCCCATTGTCACCAGCATGTCTCTAAGTACAGATGGATAGGGATTAGCAGTCGTATCCAGGACGTTTATTTAGTCTCGCAGTGGACATTGACTGTGGTATGCAGGTATGTCTGTCTGATAAGACACAACGCGCAACCTAGATTCAACTGCTAGCCACCATCCTTCTTTGCCTATAATGCTTGTGACTTAAGGCGATATCGAGGTAATCCATACAGACTGTACAATTGTTACTTACAGACTGATCATTTGTAGATTTTAACAACAATGGGAAGATACAAACAAACAATACTAAGTGAATTTAGTTACTATGATAGTTATTCAATAGGAATATATGTAATAATAGTCTATAAGTGACTCCTAGCAACTACTATTCATTTATTCTTCATTCGAATATAACACTTTCCTTTTTTTTGTTTTTTCGATATACTTCCAATACAGATAACAATTTGCAAATCTCTTTACAGTTTGGATGAATAACCGTAAAATTCCATTCAATTGGGAATAAACAAAAAAAATGTTATAGTTAGTGAATGTAAGTTCAATTGAAATGAATAAGAAAATTATATACATTGAATGATAATAAAATTATACTAATGCATCTTGACTCAAATGCGCTCTTCCTCACGAAGGGCTCTCAAATGGCCATACGTATATAGCCTACACAAGGGAAGTCTTACTCACTACATTCTCGGGGCATTATTGTTGTTTACGAAATTGAGAGGACGAAAAGTGAATGTCCGCTGTTGTAACTGGGTTGATTGACACGAAAGTTCACCTAGGGCAGTTGCAAAAGCTTAATTCCAAACCAATCGTCCACATGGGCTCCATTATCCCGAGGGAATTAATCGTTGGTCACCGGCTATCATGGAACTTCATCTCTCACGATGCTCCACTACCTAGTGGATCAGACCTTTAGGTCGAAGGCTCCGGATGTGGCCCCCTAAGAAAACCATCTGCTTCAGTTTGGGCACCTGGGCAGTATCACAGCCCATTCATTGCTGACTTCCTGTTTATTTTTTTGTTTTTTTTTTGTTTTTCAGATAATGCATTTCCCTTTGTATTAATATTATATCTCCATTGTATTTTTACCAGTTATCTCCAAATGGAATCCAAAAAAAAGAAAAAGCAAATGGATTTATTGCCATCAGTGAAATTGACAAACATTGTGCCTTTCATTAGACCATCATCTTGATCCATTTCATCGTGAATAAATCTTTATTTTATTCATTCATCCAAATTAAAGGGTATTCATACAAATGGAATCAATAAAATTGATTTTTTTTCGTACCGGTAGATACTTACCTCGTTCTATTGATAGAACAAGATCAAACTAGTAGTGAATAGCTCTGTTATATCTTGTGATCGAGTAGATGCCAAGTTAGTGTATAACGTGATAAGACCGCCAATTAGAGAGAAGTGATTTTATCGATTGGAACAGTGATACACGAAAACCGTATGGGCAGACTTGAGCACTACTCGGTCCTGCTATCTCCCTAGCCCAGCCGTTTAAGTCCAGAACATTAATAATAGCCTCTGCAATATGAATCATTATTCTCAAACATACTGGGTTTATATTACCAAACAAACAGACCACATCGTACCATAAAATAGGAAATAACATTTGTACAAGGCTTGGACGAATGTAGATATGAATAGGGGGAACTGTAATCAACAGACTAGGGATAACTGAGGAATGGTAAATCGTATAATAATAAGCTATGAGTCAAAATAAAGCTCATAATAAAAGGAACATGAATATGAATAGTTCAATTGGTTAGCAATGATACGATAAAAATTATATGCATAAATGGATCCCAAAGTTACCATTCGCTATTGTTATCAGGGCATAACAAGTTTTTTCTATTTAGATCGTGGTGCAGGATACCATGATGCACTAGGTTACTTGTTTAAACGTGCAACGCTTTTCAACTTTCAATATAAGATAATGGGAAAATATAATTCCTATACAAAATAAAGAAGTGAATGAATACTTGAGCTCTATTGTTTTAATATGTATTTAGGTGTTTGAAGTCATCCTTGAATCAATCAACCAAAGTTGTTACAGATTCTGCTTATCCATTCAACCATGATTTCATTAACAGTTGATTATGATTCTGTGTAGAAACAGTGGACTAGGACTGTTAAATGAGTGATTACCAAGAGTCATAAAACAATCAGGGCCAGCAAGATAACTTATAAATACCCTTAAGCATAGTTATCAACGAGTTTCAGACTTCTGAACCATTTTGTGTTTGAAAAGAATTTACCGTGAAAGCAGTTAAACTATAACGGGCTCATCTATTATTCAAAGACTTCTAATTTTTTTAGTCTTATGACAAGTTTCGTAAATCTTGAAATCCTTCCCAAAGAAACTCGCTAGTTAGCTTGAACTGGGTTTCTTTCTGGATAATTAATAACTCCTCGAAAAGCTGTATTCTTAACTTTCTGATTTACGCACTCCTGTCAACTCCAGTGGAACATCTAATACAACCAGCAACTTCCAACCTGCTCTGTTCATGGCTATTCTTTCAAGTGGTTTCCGAGTACTTACTCACGCTGTTACACGTCATGGAGGGGCATAGGCAGCCCACTAACACTTTCCATCTAACCCTGTCCTGGACCATCCATTCTCCTAGTTTTCAGTTTCTGTTCATCCTCTTCATATCTGCTAATTCTTGAGGTAGTGTGTTTTTGTCCTCCTCTTTTCCGTTTCCCTTCAGGATTCCAAGTGAGGTTTTGCCTCGTGATACAGTTTAGTGATTTCCTCAATGTATGTCCTATCCATTTCCAAAGTCTTTTCCAGATTTCCTGCTCGACTGGAAGCTGCTTTGTCTTCTGCAGCAGTAGGCTATTGCTAATGGTATTTGGTTTTCAGATGCTATTCATTTTTCCGACGTCAACCACCGATACTCAGTACAATGTGCTCTTTGATCTATCTTTTCTCTCCCAACATTGACAATTTCAATTTGAGGCTTCCCTCAAGTTGCAGTTTGATGATTTCTTTAGTGTGTGTCCCACCCACCCTCAGTACCTTTTATAATTTCGTCTTCAGCTGGAATCTGGTTTTTCGCACTCATACTAGGTTGTTGCTGATGGTCTACGGACAACGGACATTCAGTATCTTTTGAAGGCAACTGCTTATAAATACCCGTAAGTTTTTGATGAAGGTTGTAGCAGTTCACTAAGTTTCAGCTCAATACAATATAACTGTCTTGATGTTTGTATTGAATATTTTTACTTTAGTGTTTACTGACGGTTGTTTTGAGTTCCAAAAGTTCTGCGATTATGAGAATAATGAGCTAGCTATCCAAATATATTCCTTTTTATCTGAATCAGGTTCTCATGGCTTATAGATGGTGCTGCTCATATATGTAAAGTCTTCAATCGCTTCCAGATATTCTCCATCAAGTGTGATCTGATTGGTGCTCTATGTGTTGTTGATTCTTCTTTTGTGTGTGTCAAGACCTGCTGTTACAAAGGCCGTTGCTCCAGTGACTGAGTTCATCTGAATTTGGTGATGTGTATCAGAAAGAAGAGCTAGGTCGTCTGCAAAATCCAAATAATCTAGGTGGGTCCAAGATGATTATTGTATTCCGTTCTTCCTCGCAGATGCTGAGGTCTTCACAGTCCAGTCGGGCACTAAAGAAAAGAGGTGAGAGTCAGAAGTAGTGTCTCACATCGGCCTTCACTTATAATGGTATTCGGAAGCTGCCCTTGCATTGTCGTCCGTCGTCGGACTTTCATAGAGAAACCGTGTAGTTAAAACCTTATTATCTCGTTATGTAATCATTATAGCACTTGAAGCTAGGTCGATCCTTGATATTGCCCACGAAAAGTGTAAATTTTAAAAGTGATCTTCACTCTTAAAGTTTTCAGTACAACCTTATAGACTTGCAGATGTCCCCCTACGTTCACCATTACTAAACTTCTCACTTTGTCAATTGTTGAATGTAAATTTTTCTAACGAGATTATATATATATATATCCTTCATGCGCGCACTACTAAGAATAAACGATCAGTATTCTAGGAGTGGTCGAACACAAACTTTGTACATTAAGATATGTAATTCATTGTCAAAAAGGTTTCGAGTTATTTAACCTGTAAGACGTTGAGACTTGGAAGTCTGTTTCAATATCTGTTCTGTAAACGACAAGTCGTACTAGTGCCTCAGTCTACTAATATATGTAACCTAGATAACACTTCACCATTTATGGTAAAATCGAGGTCGAATGATGTATCACCAAATATGTCCAACCACATTTAGCTGTATTAATCTCCAGCTTCCATTTCAAGCACAACTGTGATACCTTGTCAAGCTCCGTGCTAATGAAATTTTGGGTATTGTTCAGCTCGTGTGGAGAAAATGAATACATTACTCTAAGATCATCTGCTGAAGAAGGGGCTTACCACACAAAAAGCACTCACAAATATCATTGATAAAAACTAAAAAGAGCAAATGGCATAAGACACTACCTTATATTACACCATTTCTAACAAGGACAGCGTTCGACAATGAAAAGTTCAATTCAACTATTTGATGTCGCTTGCTGAGGAAGGAATCAAACCAACCAAACAAACGGTTTTGAACCTCAGAATACGCAAGTTTATCTATGAGAATTCGGTGGTTGACCATGTAGAAGGCTTTAGAAATGTCCAGGTATAGGATTAATGCTAGACATCCTTGGCCGTGAAGTCGTTTGACTAAAAATAACCTTTCTGTAGTTGTCTTCTTTTATTGCGATATTTAGTTGGTATACATAATTCGTAAGGTTTACCAAACCTGTATGTTTTAATTGGTGCACAGGAATGTAGACAAGAGTCGACAGTCAAATAGACTTTGTTGATGAAATCCATGAGCCTATTAAATGAGAAACATTCATCCCAGTCTGAGAGTTTGATCAGTGAGCGCAAGAGGTCCCAGTCAGTATGCTTATAGTCTCTTAATTCGTAGGTTTTTTGAATTAGTCGGTCATAAAAGGGATAGATAGGGAGAGCACAAGCTACTATCTTATGGTCACTGCCGTCAGATTCGTTGTATACTTGTACAGATAGTGAGATGACATCTTTACTAAATGTTAGATCAAATATATTATCACCCCTTGTTGGGGTACGAACACACTGTGACCAACACTATAGGTTAAGGATTGCCGAAAATTCATCATTTCTCGACTGACAACTACCGGTACTCCAGTTAACCCCAGGATAGTTGAAATCTCCAGTGGTAACCTCGACATTGAAGTTTAGAGCAGGTGCATGTATAAATGCATTGATAATGAGACCATTCACATTATCCGAAACATCAGGAGCTCTTTATTTGCATCCTAGGAGTAAGCTATGATTCAGAGTGTTGATTGATATCCAGACCGATTTAGGCAAACTAATCAAGACACTGTCTTCAACATTATTAGTTGTTAGGGTAACTGAAGCATATATAAGACAACCACCTCCTCGCTTAGCTTCTCTGTCACAGCGATAGAGCCAGTATTTCTGAATATTTAATTCTGAATGAGATACTGCATGACAGCACAATGTTTATGTGATAAGTATGAAAAAAGACTTGGTTAGAAAAAATAAGGTTCTCAAGGCTGAAGTTTTGTTCAGAAGTGGGCGTGCATTATTAAGTAATAATTTTAACAAAGGAGTATGTAGTGTAAAAAAACCGAGAGTTTTCGTATAAATGGTAAGTGTTCTAGATTTGCCTGGACTATGGTTTAATGTGTTCGATTGATAGTACGGGCTATATCTTGAACAAATGTAATGCTAGTGGGATCAGGGATTTCTGAAGGCCAAAAAATCATTATTTTGACAAGATGAATTAATTTGTTGAACTTGACTAGGTATACAGTTAAGACAGGCACCTGCTACTTGAGGTTGAGTTGATGGTGCGTAACCTAGTATTCCATCTTGCCCATTGGGAAAGTAATGGGAATAGTTACATCGCACAGGTTTAATATTTAAAACATTTGAGGGTAACCATGGGGCACGTTGGTTCACTGTGGTCTGTCTAACATTATGCCTGCCTACACAACGGTTTTAGTGGCCGTCTTGTGTGACGTTTGAACAAATTGTGGCCTTATAACCTCCCCTACGATGAGTAGGATGAAGCATGGTTTCGGAAGGTATATTTTCGTTTGGTAGGGCCATTGTAATATTTTTGGTATTTGGTCTAAAATGTGAAGGTTTTTGTATATACTTCCTTTTTACCTGGTTTAGACTTTTTAGTTTTAACAGTGTTTTTAAGAGCCTTCACATTAGAACTAGGTGTTTGTTTATGGCCTTCTAATGTCACACTGGAAAATATCAGATTAGTGTCTCCATTAGATATACATTGGTTATCTGATGTCACTACAGTCATAAGAGGTATACTAGCACTCTTCATTGTTAAATCAGTGTAGTGGCTAACAGGAGATAGATTAGCTGCACCAGTGGGTTCAGCAACTGAGGCAACAAAGTTTGTTTTGATCTCAACAATGTCATTTTCCTTTAAGGTACGCTTTGGCAGATAAGTCTTTCGGACACTTTCAACCGTTCAGCTAATAAATGGGAATTGAATATAAACAAGATAGGGCACGAGTATTTCTGGTGCTTTTTATAAGGTCAAATACGTTGGTATGGACTATCTTGGAGGTTAGCTGCCTTTAATATAAAATTCCTTACAGATTTAATGGCGAATTTGTCAGATATGTTATAGATAATCAAGTTATTGTGAAAGATTATTCGATTATTAAATTCGCTAGCGATAAAATCGATAACCGACTCTACTTTGATCTTGCCTTCAAGTTCCACAGGAGCTACATCCTTTGACAATAGCAGTTTAAGGGACGATGATGTGTTTAGTTCTTGCTTAAGATCATCATGCTGTATAAAAGAGCCCACAAGTGACTCCATTTTAGAACGCATATCGTTTAATTGTTTATACATAGTGTCTAATCCCCCCCTAATGTTGTCGATACTTTTAGATCTTGAGGTAGAACTCATAATTAAATTACAGACTGAGTCATTCAGCAGCAGGTGTGGTATACGTCCACTCCGAACATTATCTGATTCAAAAGGAGTTGCAGAGCATGAGGTATAGATAATGACAGAATTGTTATTATCTGATGACTGAACAGAACAAATAGAATCTTCCACAAAATTTAATGATTAAGATGAGAACAGCTTACTTAGCTTCAAACTATATTTAATTTGACATAGTTACGAATCAGAAAGTGTCTCAAAAAGTAACGTTTATTCGGAAATGACGCATTTCATAAGGAATGAAAATCTGTGCCAAAAACATGGGATGCACTAATTCTGAAGAGCTTCATTGTAAAAAGAACTTTGGGGAACTATTCTCAACGCTCGTTTTAATTGGTTTTAGTGACAGGAAACTACGACTTTGTTTCGAATATAGCCTTAAAGACGCTACAGATATTCGGAGTTTGACAATGCCTTTATACTTAGCACATTTAGAAGTGTAGTATAATAACCCAATGAAATCGGAAGTCAGAAATGAGGGGATTCAAAAACATATTTGGAAGGGTACAGATACATCGTGGAGCGTTTGGTCTAAGTTGACTATCATTTGGAATGAACATGAAGCTCAGTATACCCACTATATGCATGACTGAGTGCTTAGAAGAAAGGGTATATCCAGTAAGACTAATGAAGTTGGAACCAATGCTGTAAACTTAGAGGACTATTTAGTTCAGGATTTATTCGCCGCTAAAGTCCCTTCTGGTCACAAGTTGAGCAACAACATCAATCCATTTCGGTAGCCCTTACATCCTAATATTAATTGCGTGTGTCGGCTTTTCGGTCACAAAACCCATTATATAATAGAACAAAAATATAGATTTAAAAGGTTCTAACTTTGCTATGAACGTTATAAAGCTTTTTTCGTCGATGAAGAAGCTACCTTGAACAATTGTTTAAGTTCAATAAAATATTTAACAGCCTGCAATAAACATTTGCGCCATTTTAACCACGATCATACGATGGTCGCTCTCTGGATTCTGTTTTTGTGTTTGCATCTATTTTACATCGTCAACGCATCAGGTCTGCCAGATAATCATCAAACCATATGGGCTGAAATATCTTCCAACACTACGTTCTGTTGCAACTTAACATTCAAAGGTATTTTTGCTTCATTTTAGAATAAGCATTTAAGTTACTGTATCAAAATCTGTATGGAAAGTTCTTTGGGTCATCAGTTGAAATATTTGAGCATTCTTAAGAAATTGATTATCTTGTTTCTTTCCGTTAGTTTGACTAAAAATATTGTTTCGGTAGGTCAGGCTTTCAATGTTCCTACACATAACGTTTCCAAACTGGCTCAACAATGTTGTCCAAAAAGTCGACTTCTGATAAACCAAACGCAAAAGCTTAAATGACTACTTGATTCCAGTGTTTTCAGGTGTGGAGTTAAAATCCTGTGTAGTTGAAATCAATGCATTGCTTGTTATGCGTGCGTTAACCCATACTTTCCAACGAAGCACGACTAGGTACTAGATCAAAGTAGATAGTGAAGAAGTGAAAACAATGTCAAATGTACTGAGAAAGCTGTAACTTTGGGGATTCGTCATGAGATAAATGTATTCACTGATGAACAATAATACCTAAAATGTATGCAAGTAAGAAAAGTGAGCAAACCAACATCACTGTGAAGGACTGTGCTGTGAGATGAACACTTTACAGAGGATATTTGTCCCTCGACAGATTTTTTTGTGCATTTAACCAAAAATATTTCACACTCAATAAGCAGCATATTTTTCGGTTCTGTACTTTTTCACTCCTGACAGCTAATATATTCAAGTTTCTAAACTGCCAAGCGATAAGATGCACTCAAGTGATTTTTATTACTTGCTTAATCAGTTGAAAAGGTTCATAGTACTCCACAAATCGGTATTTAGATACCCTTAAGGACTTAATCTAGGACAGATATCACGTTTTTCGTGCATTTCTCTATGCTTTTCAGAATCAGAAGCATTGCAGTTGAGAGTGAATGACCAACGAATTTGTTCCTCAGTTAAAAGACCTGGCAAAGATATTAGAAGATATATTTCCCCATCAGCCAAAGCCTGGAATATCAACGAAACAGTCAAAGATGATATCTGTTTGACAAAAACCAATAATAATCCTGACGAAATAGAAAATCCTCCCCAAATTATTTGTGAAAAATCTGCAGATGAGGGTCTGGGAGAAACTTTGGAGAAAAAATCTATTATTTTAAAGTTTTACGGTAAGTTAATAAAGGACTGAAATAGCTTATAAGTGATTCATTTGTCAGTGAATGTAAGCATTCTTAAAATATGATACATGAACTCATGTGACTCATTTTACATTTTGCCACCATAAAACTTGTCAGACTTGTCACCCAAAGATGCGAATGTTTGCCTCACAAACTCATATAAGAGGTGCTTTTCATAAGTTTTGTATTCATTTACTTTATAACGACGTGTGTTCAAAGTAAGATTGTTGAAGACCAGTCAGACTTTCAGTGAGCTTTAGTTTCTAAAATAAATCCATATCTTACGCATCGCGATCCGTTAAATGCACTAATTTTCCAATATATAGGCTATACCGATCATATCAAAGTAATTTATCCATTATTCACAGTTATACAATATACCCTTGTATGCCAGGGTTATTTTACACTGGTTTTCAAGAGAACCGGACACCATCCAGACTTTCACGTGACAACCCAAACAGTACAGCTCAATCCCATTCAACAAGAGAGTCAGACACCGCCCAGGCTTAACCATTATACTTGATGAATTTTTAACTCTTTAAGACTTAATACATTCACAGCGTACCAAGACTGATTTGGTTTTGATAAATAAAACCTTTGTGTCACTTCAACAGATAGGTCAGGGATTAGTTGACTAACTAAATGCCATAGTAGGTTTGTATTAAGAATTTCCAGGGGTCTTTGTACTTTACCTGATATCATTTTGCTTTCAAATACGTCATTACGTTGTCACAATCCGGGATTGTGTGAAGGGTAAAAAACTAACAAGTTGAGAAAACATCTCTCATAACTTTGCTGAGCAATAACTGAGGTCGTACGTAGTGTATAGGTATATATATATATATATATATATATATATATATATAGAGAGAGAGAGAGAGAGAGAGAGAGATTCAATAATAGGGGGAAATTTCAAAGCGATTCTCACTCTATCTGTTGACAAATCCTCCGGTTGTTCTCCAACTATGATTACAAAAGCAGCAGTTAATTTTTAGCATTTCAAATGTTAATCCTCAATCAATTTTGCATTATGTAGTCCTAAAATAATTCCTTTTCTGTTTTTTATTTCAGAACAAGCCAAAATTGTTAAATTTCCAAAAAGTCTTAAATTTAGAGAAGGATCTAATCAAGTGATTGAATGTAGTGCTACTGGATTTCCTGACTTATATGTTGTCTGGCGCTTAAAGGTTAGTTATACGAAGTGATTTGAGCAATATTAAAGTATCTCTCATTTCTAATTACAATGTTGTTATTTTTACTATCGATCTTAACCAAACATATTGGTGATAGTATTTTTTTAAATATAGTTAAATTTCTTCTAGCCAACATTTTACTAGTATTCGATCATAGGTGTCTTCGGAGCATTGCTCGTATATCCTGGAAACACCTGATAAGTAATGCAGTTGTTAGGAAACGGGTACTAGGTAAGGATGGCTAATCCATTGATGAAGTACTGAAACTTCATCAGTTGAGATGGCTGGGACACGTGTTACGTATGCCCGATCACCGACTGTCCCGACGTGCAATGTTTCATGGTGTACGAGTAGGTTGGAAGAAAACTAGACCAATACATGGCACAAATCCATGAAGTCACTAACAAGTGAATTGAGGCATGTTGGTAGGGTAGACTACCTGGTTAGGATTCGCGAGATGATAGCAATCTATGGTTACAGACCTTGAATGGCATGGCTCAAAATCGATTACAATGTTTAGTGTGCATCCACTCTTTGTGTTCTCCCAAATTCTAATCTTCTGAATTCTTCATGTCCCTATCTTTTTTCATATTTATTTCGCTGAATTTTACTCCTTGAATAACATCTTCAAACCCTAATCTTTCAGTTTACTGTTTATACTCTTACTACTTCTACCATTATGGGATTCGAATCGACAAATGCATCTCTTTGTTAATGTAGTATGGCAACTCGAACTGATGTACTTACGTACAAAGTTCTACGTTGTCACTGACAGAACTTTTTACACATAAGCATTCTATTTTGATAATTTTGGTTGAAACATACCATTATCATTAAAAATGGATTTGAATTACTCCTTTGTAGGTAATCTTGATCAATCTTGATTGATCTCTATGGCTTCCTCTTTGTGGATTACCTTAATACAGTTATTTGTAAAAGTTTTTACGAAAAAGATAGATCTATGGCTAGCAGTAGAAAACCATAATTGGGTTTCGTCATATTTGAAACTTGTTAGATGGATGTCCTTCCATCTAAATGTTGATGTTTACTGAAGGACTGAAACTTAGGACATTTCGATTCACATATCCGTCTCTTTGTTCACTGAATTACTGATTGCTTCACTAATGGTGTAGGCGAGGTGTCAGTCTTCTAACCAAAGGACGAGTTTAATACTCAGCCGTTTGCTCCATTCTACTTTATGAATGAGAAACATGGACGCTAATAGCAGAATATATTCGCAGGTTACTGGTATTCAATTATAGGTATATTCAAAGTATTGCTCTTGTTTTTTGAAAACAAGCAAGCAATGCGTAGGTGTATACACTCTTTATCTTCCCTTAAACCTTAACATTAAAATTGCTTCATATATGTCTTCTTTCCTATACTATATCCTTATATACAATCTATCTTTTATATCTTATCACCAATAAATTAACTACTTTTATGAATTCGGTGTTCATCTTCTTGTGCTAACGAGGTCGATGTATGGCAACTCGGACCGTTGCGTATATGTGCCTGGTCCTACGTTGTAGCTGACTGTATATATATATATATATATACCATCCGCCTAAGTTGGAAAGTCGGTTTGTTTTTCGTGATAGGAAAACGGATTTCTGTGAACAGAGTCACGGAGTATTCGTCCTCTAAGGTTTATCATACTCATTTTAAAAATATTAATGTTTCACGAAATTGCACAGGTTAATGATTATCTGGACTTAATAGACCAGCCGATAACGTTTTACTCTTCTCTGAATGAACACATCAACATTAGGATATAGGCACATCCAGTTGATAAAACTCAAATAAGTCGAAACGCACGTCCTGAATTCCATTTTTAACCTTGAATTATACTAGACATAAAAAAAATATCCTTAACACCCTCCCTATTGATATGTGATTATGTAATCAATTGAGACGAATGAATTTAAACACTTTGAGAGCAAAATCTCCCTAACATTTGATACAGTTTGTCATAAATAAACATAGACATACATTTTCCATTCCCATGTATTTGGAAGTTCACATTGTTTATTCACCACTTCTTTTCTATACCCCCCACCCCGTTTTTACTTACTGGTTCCCATAAATCTAAGAAGAAGAAAAAGAGATAAGTTTATGAAAAACCGAAAAAACTCTGTTTGTTTGTTTTTTCTAGTCTACCGGTAAATTAAAAAAAAGTGTTTCTATCGATTGACAAAATGTTTTGTACGTATGTGTTGCCTGATAGATTTGTTTACAATATCAGACAAGAGTCTTTGAATACGTATGTGTATATATGTATGGGTGGCAATTGGTTATCATTTCGTTTTTTTCTCCCATCTATATCATTGTTCAACTCAAAGAAATGTTGAAAATTGAATAAAATTATCAATATCATATGTTTAGTTGTTGACATATATCTTATGTCAATTCACTAGTGGAGGATTGAGATAATCGTCAATTTTTCTTATCTCTTAACATAGTAAATAGTACATCTTTTATCAGAAGTGAGGTTGAAATCATGAGTCAGTTGAAGCTAGACCACTATTGAAAGCCTGGAAGCATTGGATGACTATTTCGTCCTATTGTGGTACACCTCAGTGACAGTGCGCGTCCACGATACTGTCTCGCGAGATTCGAACACTGGACCTATGACTTTCGTGCGCGAGCATTTAACCGATAGACCATTGAGCCGGCTGGCATCCAACGGTGTGAATGTCTAACTTCAACCAATCCTCGAAATTGAGCAAGCATTCACCAATGTCTTCAGTGAGTTCATATCTCCCAACTGACCTGGTTGAACTCCACCGATTACTGTTTCACAGTAGAAATAAGTCATGGAGCGCATGCTGAGGAGTCCGACAATAGGACGAAACGGCCGTCCAGTACTTCCAGGTTTTCAATGGTGGTCTAGCTTCAATTGACTCATGATTTCAATTATATAAAAGTACATGTATTGTTAAATAATCTTAGGTTTGATGCACTGAAAGATTTAAAACTTTGAAATACAAGACGAAAACTTTAAACTATGGTATTTTTCATTAGAAAATTTATCAAATGTACAATAGAATAATTTATAATAATTCTAAAGAAACGACAATGAATTGTTAGCGATGTCACTTATATACTACTTAATAGACAGTCCTACTCGCTGCCTTCTCGAGGTGGATGTGTTGCTTACGAAACTGTTAGGACAAAAACAGATATCCAACACTTTAACCGGTTTCGTGGATATGGAGGATCCATTTAGGTAGTTGCAAAACCTTGATTCTAAACCAATAGTTCACATGAGCTACCAGGATTTTGAGGGAATGAATGACGTATGAAACTATTGTTGGTCACAGACTACCATGGAACTGTACCTCCTAAAGTTATTCCAGTGCCTTGTGAATTAGACCCCTAGGTCAAAGGCTCGGGTGTGGTTTCCTAAAGGAATGACCTGGTTCGCTTTGGACATCCGAGTAGTATTCCAAACCTCACACAAATCAATGATAACTACTACTGGCCTCATTGTTATTGTGTGGCACATATGTATTTGGTACCCCTTAGTAACATTTAGTAATCTCCACGATCCTCTCTACTGATAAAAGTATATTGAGTTTAAATTGATATCATGAATGGAGCAATGTTATACCACCATTGAAAACCTAGGGGCATTGGACGGCCGATACGTTCTAGTACGGGACTCCTCAGCACCGCACATCCATGGTCCCAGGTATGGGATATCAATTTAGACTCAATAACCTCCATAACCCTATACTAAAACCTATATTGCTTTATCCTCCTATGGTCTTTCTTTTTTTTATCTTGTTTTTACTTGTACGTAAATCATTTGCATGAATATATATTCCCCCCATTGATTGTTTGTCTGTGAAATACGCTTTCTCTATTTCCATACTTTATAATAGTAAATATCGAAAGACACATACGTACACTCGTGTACCAGTTGCCTAACTTTTTATCTAGCGTTAAATCATATCGTCAAGTTCACACACACACACACACAGTGAGAGAGGATAAAAGCTGACTACAGATTGTAAACAACTGTTTTGTTATGTGTCTATCAGTCACTAAATACACGAGTATTTTTTGCATTTGTCTAGTCGGTAAAATGAATCCTCAATTATAAATTGTAAGTAGTATGTAGTGAATGGATGGATGCGTATCAACATAAATTGTGATTGTTATCAGAACCCTTGACAAAAAAAATTTACTATTTATTGATATATTTCTTGAACATGTAGTTAATTTTCTCTTTTCATTCATTCAGTCAGTCAGCTACAACGTAGGACCAGACACATTTATGCATCGGTCCAAGTAGCCATACATCGACCTCGTTAGCACAAGAAGATGAACACCGAATTCATAGAAGTAGTTTATTTAGTGGTGGTAGTATATAAAAAATAGGTTGTATATAAGGATATAGTATAGGAAAGAAGACAGATATGAAGCAATTTTAATGTTAAGGTTTAAGGGAAGATAAAGAGTTTATACATCTACGCCATTGTGATCGATTCTAAGCCACGTCATCTAGAGTCTACAACCATTGGTTACGATAGTCACCCGGACCCCATTTAAGTAGTCTGCATCTATCAACATGGCTCATACTAGAAGTTAGTGACATCAAGCACTGATGCCACGTTTTGGTTTGGCCGCCCCTAACTCTTTTCCATCCATCCCCTACACTAGTCAGCATAGTGCATCGTGGTAATCGGGCTTCTCTTTTCATTACACTACATACGTCTTTCTAGTGTTTGTTTAAGCCTTAAATTCTCCTTCATTGTTAATATCAGGACGCTTGGTGTTTCCCACTGAATTTATTAGTGTATATAGAAGGATTCAGTATCGATTAATTTTGGTTCATATTCGTCAAGGATTGATTTCAGCTGGATTACTAATGGAAATGGAGAAGCCCTGGGTAGTTGTTTCGTCCAGATAGCTACTGGGGGGGGGAGATTCAAACAACCTCTTAGAAATGAATTAGAAACTTACCCATTTAAACAAGTCAGTATCTA